AGGCTTTGTTTTGCTCTTCATTTTACCTACCTGTTGCTTATTTTTTACTTCTGATGAATAATGTAGTATATATATAATATGGTATAGTAATATGATATGCAATGTTATGAAAACCAATTAAAAAAAAAAACATAAAGCAAGAAAACAAACCCACACAACAATTTCCTCCTAATGATGGTTAACGTCCCCTGAAATTAAAAATATGTAATTCAAATTTGTTAACTAACTCTTTTTTTATCCATAAGAAACAGCTGAAGTGATTGATATTTAATCAACAAAGGTGATTAGGAATGGAAAGTCCAACAGCTTTGATGTATTAGTACATATTTACCACAGATTTGGTGAATACAATGTGCAGATATAAAGTCTGGGTTTCAACTGTAAATAAATCGTAGAAGATGCAAAAAGTGCGTGAGCTTGGATTGCTTGTGTTTATGGCACTCCCCCGCCCTGCTTGATCCCTGATATTTGTTCTTGACAGCTCTCATTCTTTTAGCATTTAGCAGCAGATTTACTTTTACGTTTCCATCTAAACATCTTCTCCAAGGTTCTATCCTTGTCTGATTCTGCCTAAGGTTGGGTCAGCCACGTGACTCGAGCATCCATCTGTTTTTCTGCAGATTCAGCCAAGTGCTTTGTTCACAACCAGTAGCATTTGAGAATAGCAACTACCGGATCAAAATGCCCAATTCGATAGAGTTTAGGATAGCGATTTTATTGTTTGCAATGGGTTTGTAATTTCAAAAGAAATATTTCAGATATCTAGAAGAGCTTTTTAGTTTATTTTCCACGCTTCATCACTTCTAATATATCAAACATCACTGATAATATCATTCTGTATTCTAATTTTAAGAATAATAAAATCATCACTAAGTTCTGATTTTCTTTAAAAAAGTACCTCTTTCATGATACTTTCCCTAGTTACAATGTTCTTGGGATATTAAAAATATTTAAAACATCTCAAAGAGCACTTTTTATTTAATGTCTACATTAAAATTTAGGATTAGTAACTCTTTGAAATGTAACAATTCAATCCGTGCTGCTATGTGCTATTATATGATCAGTCAGCTTGCCTATACTCTAAGCTTCTTTCTGAACTACAATACCCAGAGTTCCCTTCGCGCGTCAACAGCAACAGCAAGGATGTTGCGATATCGCAGGCAGCCAAAGATTGCTGTGGTTGCATAGATTAGACCGCTGGGTTGAAATCTCAGTGTAGTTATTGTGCATGTTAGACTCCGTGGTGACATACGTGCAGCAGATGTTTAGCAGGCGTTAGTTTCGTGTCAACTAGACGTTTGTCGGAGGCGCTGCGTCGCGTTAACGCTAACTAAAAAAAAAATCAGTTTTTATATATATATAAAAAAATGGAAGCAACCAAATAGCCGCACGGGTGATTCAGCTACGTCAAACGCGGCTACAGTGCATTTTTACCGAAGATGGAAGCAAAATTTCTGCTGACGAATACCGAAGACATCATCTTCAGAGGATAACCTTACACAAAATGTCATAACGCGTAAGTAGCTAGCAACTTAGCTAGCTTGGTAATGGCTGGCCGAGATGGAGGCGATGGACCTATTTTTTTCATCAGCAGCCGAGCACGAACAGCTGGATGGCTTGTGAAAGAAACACTTTCTCCGGAGATGCTTTAACCTCCCGGGTGGTGTAATTCACTTGCATAACCCTGCTAGTCGCAACCGCTCCACTAGCGAAAGGGAAAATTTCCACCTCAAAATCAAACAAATCTCTCAACATCATGATAACTGACAAAGGCTACATGTTTTAAAACGGACTTGACAAGTTTACTATTATTTGAGCCGCGTTGTAGATTATATATCAGTGCAATAACGAGCCTTTGATAAGGAAAACAGCTCATCGTTTTTGCTGTGTGTGAACGTGAAGCCAAAAAAATACGCCTTGCTCCTGTCGTTTTTTTGACAACATGAGGAAGTTCTTTGATTCTCGCCGGGAGTTGGTCAGCTCCGGGCCCGGTTCTGGAGGAGGTGGCAGCTCCGGGTCCAGTCATGCAGGCGGAAATTTCATCGGGAGAGGCTTCACTGTCGGGCGACACCAAGTCACTGTGGAGGAGATCATTGCTGAAGGTGAGAAGCCCACCTGATGACGTCATTTTTAAGTTTGCACGCTCAGCTGCCAGATGATGTTGAGGATGACTCTCAGCTACAACCACACCACAGTTCAGTGTTGCCAGATAGAGTCGAGATCCCTGCTGGAGAGTCTGTTAAAAACCGCCACATCACACAAAAATCCACCCAGTCAATATGTTGTTACAGTATATTTACTGTTTGAACATGAACACACATCAGTACAAGCCAAGGTAATTTAACAATATGTGGCAAAATGCAACAATCCAACAAAAATCTTCCCAGACTTCCCAGCAAAATCAGAATGAAAACCGCCCAATCTGGCAACACTGACCACAGTTTAGCTCAATGTCTTCAAAAAATGCTGAGTTGTAGCTGTTTTTGTGTAGATTAGCTCTGGTGGCCATTGAATTAGTCAACTGGCCCCAAAATTTAATAACATCCAATGATTGCTTCCTGAAAGTTTCATTAAAATCCCTCCAATGGTTCATGACATATTATGCTAACACACAATTGACTCCAAGAAGTAAATGAGGAAAGTTTCACACGCTTGGATTGACTCTCGGCTACTGTCACACCAAATTTTAGCTCATTAACTAAACATTTATAGTTATCTTTGTGTTCAAGGGTGCTTTTCTTGAACGACGCTGGCTCCAAAAGTTAATAAGTTGTCAATGTCTATCTAACAATGACTTTCTGAGTGTTTCATTGAAATTGGTTCACCGCTGTACGAGATATTTTGCTAACGGTACAGACGTGTACAAAAGCATTATTTCCTTTTTGTCTTAATAATAATAATGCTTGTCAAATTGTAGGACGGACGACTCGCATCCAATAAAGCATAATTGTCAATACATAAATAATATAGTAATTGTACAAAATACATTGTTGGAGTGACTTAATCCTGCAGTTTAGTTGCTGAGCTTGGACACTTTATTTAATGGTATGTTCATGTGTTTTTCTGAACCAAAGTCAGGGTAATTCCAGTATTTTCTGATCCTAATCACTTGCATCTTGCTGCCACTTAAAAAATAATTCAAACTGAGTGCCCAAGTAATTAAACAGTTTATTAGAATTCATGCATCAGTATCTAATGCACACCCTCCTCCCCGTCCCTAGACGTTCCTCCCAGACTTACAGTGCCACTCTGCCGTACCGTTGTATTATTAGATGTCCAGTTGATTGTGCAGTAAAAGCTGTCTGATGCTGATGATGCTGTCACAGTTAAACACAGCAGAGTGAATTTGTTATCTGAGCTGCACCAGCAGATGGTTAGGCCTCACTGTAGGCCTCTACGTAAACCCTCCAGCAATGGCATGACTAATAGATAATGCTAAGGCAGCACCATGTGGTCCTGATTGTCTGTACTCATGTAAACTATGAAGATGGACACTAACGGGTTCTGAGGTAATGAGGCAGAAAAGATCAAAATAAAAAAAAGCATGCCTGCTAAAAGGCTAAAATAGCGATGGCTTTTTAATCATGGAAGAGCAGCGTGTCTGTTGTACATCTGATTGACAGTTGTGTTTTTTCTTTTTTCCTTGCAGGTGGTTTCGCAATCGTGTTTCTCGTGAAAACAAATCAAGGGGTTCGTTGTGCGCTGAAGAGGATGTACGTCAACAACGAGCATGATCTGCAGGTGTGCAACAGGGAGATTCAGATTATGGTGAGTTGCTGAGATTAAACGGTTGATGTCTGGGTGCTGTTGTGGTTTTGTTGGGTAGCACCATGCATGAAGACCTCTGCAAAACCAAAGTATTTGGAAGGAAACCTACACATGCAACACGCCTTACTGAACACAGACACTGACTTTTAGGACAAATTCAGTTTGTGTCAGCGTTGTTTTCATATTACTCTAATACTGTGTGAAGAGGTTTTGTTGTTTTGGTATTGTTTTTTTAATGGTTTAATACATATTTAAATATCTACCTAGCTATTGATATGTATTTGTAGACATTATATATATAAAAACTACTACTTGTACTACTATTCCTACTTTGCTGTTTTTCACTTATGGCGAGGCTTCAGGGTACGAATCCCTCACGATAAACGAGGGACTACTGTACTTGTGTAAAGTAAATCTTTGACTTTATTTTTTTTTTTTACTTGGCAATGCTGAAGAATAAAGCAAATGTATTAATGCTTTTATAAACAGGAATACTATACTACAAAATCCTGCCTGAAACTGCAAATATTTAGTGATGTTAAAAAGTTCATCATTATTTCTGCGTTACAGTTTACACACAGTGCTCTGCCTTCTTTGTGTTAAGGAACACACGGGAAGGAAGGAGGCAATTGGTGTTCAAATTAAAAACAAGGCAGATTGTATCATTTGACAAACACTCAACAAGATCTTGCACATTGTTGACCCTGTTTTGCCTTTTTAACCTCTTTCTCTTTCTCCCCCTCCTGGTCTCTGTTTGCTCTCACTCCTCACACAGACAGTGTTTCACTTTAGCTGCAATGTTTGACATTTTTCTTTCATTACCTAACACATTTCAGATGGAGCTTTCCATTGCAGCGCCCTCTGCAGGGGATAACCTCACACTGCACCTCCCAGCTTCAACCATTCAAATTCTAGTGTTCTTATTCTTGCAGAAAGATCTTGTCGGTCACAAGAATATTGTTGGTTATCTGGACTCCAGTGTCACAGCAATGGGATCCAGGGATGTATGGGAGGTTCTCATTCTGATGGACTACTGCAAGGGTGAGCGCTGAATGCACAGGGATGTGGCTGCCACCAAGAAGGGTGACTAACGTCAGAAGTATGTGAATATTTGCTCTGCTGGGTGTTTCTTTTACAGGAGGGCAGGTGGTCAATCTGATGAATCAGAGGCTGCAGACTGGCTTCACAGAGTCTGAGGTGCTTCAGATCTTCTGTGACACCTGTGATGCTGTATCTCGTTTGCACCAGCGAAAGTCGCCAATCGTCCACAGAGACCTAAAGGTGACGTACACGATGACAGATGAAGTTGAGCCTCCTGATTTTTTTTTAAGCTCAGCAAGTGTGAAAACCTTGAATCCAGTGACCATCAGCTGTTTTTGCTTCAGCTTTCTGAACGTATATGTGTAAATGCTCGATAATGCAATCACTGCACTGTGATGTCATCCAGTCTAATTGTGTTCACTCAGCAGTCTTGCCTACCATAGATCTCCCTGCTGAGCTCTCTTTTGAAAAATTCTGATTAGTTTGTTCGCGTGTGAGAGGAAGCTGTGTTTAATTATTCATTGAGTTAATAGGAGAGGAGAATATAACTTATTGTAATGCTTGACATAACCTCACCTTCTGAAAAAAGAGCTGTGTAGCTACAATGATTTGCACTCACAGTTTAATAGTTTTGATCCATATGGAGGGAAGCGTAACTTAATTCAGGTAATTTGATCTTGGATGTGTTTTTTTCAGAGGTGGTGCTAATCAGTGCTTAATTGTCTTCAACCACACAGCTCATTTGGTCTGTGTGTAATAGTTCTTGTATATCTGCAGGTGGAGAACATCCTTTTGCACGACAAAGGTCATTATGTGCTGTGTGACTTTGGCAGCGCCACAAACAAATTTCAGAACCCGCAGATTGAAGGAGTGGCCACGGTGGAGGAAGAGATCAAAAAGTTTGTGCCTCTTTTTTCCAGTTTTTTATTTATTAGCACTTATTTTAGGTAATATGATATTTTTTTTAAACTGGTTTATTTATTCCAATCCAATGTAAGATGTCCGCCATAAACAGCTAACCTTAGAAAATACAAAAATGGCTACATTTCATGCAGTTTTATAGATACTGAGTTCTAACTTGTGGTTGTAGCTGAGAGTAATAAACTCTGTGCACTATTGCACAAGCTCATTGTTTTTAATAATATTTGATGGTGGCAAGCAATATACATTCCTTCAAGGAGTACTGTATTTGCCACCGTACACGTCGCATCACCGTATAAGTTGCATCAGTCCAAATATGTCTAATAAAGTGGAAAAAACAAAAGTCGCTTCTATTACGCGTCACCGCTGACCACCCAGAAACGTGGGCTGGTGTAGTGCTAAAAATCGATTGGCTGCCAAATGTCAGCAGCGGGAGCGTGCATGGGCGGACTTTAACAAGAATTTAACAAGATTAACACTTAAAAACAATTATTTGTTTGCTCGACATTACAGCAGAGCTGTGTCTCACTCTAACTTTTCCTCAATAAATGCACTTTGATGGTAAAATCAGCTGTATTTCAAAAGCCTATATGCGGAACTAGGAGCGTGCATGGGAGGACTCGCTGTGCATTTCGAAATTTAACAAGATAATGACATAAAAACATTTATTTGTTTGCTCGGCTTTATAACAAACTTGTGTCTCAGTTGAACTTTTACTTAATAAATGCACTTTAATGGTCAAATCAGCTGCATTTCGCCGGGGCAGCGCAGCGAAATGAAGCTGATTTGATGTTTGCTCGAGGCGAGCTGGACGACACTGGCAGAGTATGGCAAGCCGATTGTGTCATTAATACCCACTTTTACCTATTACATGACACAACGACATGCCATACTACTTGATTGCCATCTAATGGCTGAAAATGGTAGTGTTCAATATTTTCATTCAGAATGAATGAAAACGGTCATACCTGAGACAAAAATTGTTTTATAAATATGGGAACAAAATCCATAAATAAGTCGCTTCGGCATATAAGTTGCAGGGCATGCAAATTATGCAAAACTTATAGGCCGAAAAATACGGTATTTGTACTTTAAGAATGTAGTACTTTGTGTAAAGTTTTTTTATGTAGAACCTCAGTAAAATATGCATCTTTCTCACTACTTTGTTGATCTTTTCTTACTATCTTGTTTCAGATACACAACTTTATCGTATCGTTCTCCAGAAATGGTAAACCTTTACAATAACAAGATTATCACCACAAAGGCTGATGTCTGGGTGAGTGATATGACAAACCTGTAATTCACAGACTGTCATTAATGAAACGGATCTTCAAGCGATGATCATTTAAAGCTAGCTGACCTTTTAGGTGCCGATATCTATGATTTTAATGTGAACTGTTGAAATTTGATGTAATTTTTTGGTGGGGCGAGGTGTTTCTTGTGATGGTCTGTTTCTTCTTTTCTCCTCTTCTCCTCTTTGACTGGGTTTGCATGCGGTTTTTCCTCTCCAGGCGCTGGGCTGTTTGCTGTACAAGTTGTGCTTCTTCACTCTCCCCTTTGGTGAAAGCCAGGTGGCCATCTGTGATGGCAGTTTCACCATTCCAGATAATTCTCGTTACTCTTATGACCTTCACTGCCTCATTCGTTAGTACCTATTTGTGTCAACATTCACCTTTTTTTGTTGTGTTTTGCCATTCTATTGCTGTTGTCAGAGATCTTGATGCTTAATTTCTCCATAATGTTTTTCAGGGTACATGCTGGACCCAGACCCGGACAACAGGCCCGACATCTATCAGGTGTCCCACTTTGCTTTTAAACTAGCTCAGCGGACTTGTCCTGTTCAGAATGTGAAGGTCAGTGTTTCTTAACTCGAGAAGCATCAACTAACATTTTTATTTGCTTCATTTTATCTCATCAAAAGTTGATTTTATTCTTGGAATTAGCTGGGACGTATTTACCTAACCTACATGTCTGTTGTAACAATCTGAGAAGAAAATCCAGACAGATTCATCAAATACAAATGGAAAAAAAAAGACATTTTGCCACAATAATAGAAGATTTAAAGTCCTTAACTGATCATTTTGTCTTGTAAAAGTCTCATGTAGATTTTCTTGTTAGTTATTTTTACTTTTTCTTTACCAGAATTCTCCAATTCCTTCCAAACTTCCTGAGCCAATCACAGCGAGTGAGGCTGCAGCAGCAAAGAAGAGCCAAACTAAACCAAGGCAAGCATGACCTCCCTCCTCCTTCATGTATTTAAAGTTGTTATAATGCTACATTTTGTAGAGCTAATTGCTTAAAGCTAAACGGGGTGGAAAGGCAGTACACTGGTTAAAGATGTTGCCTCTCGGTGAGAAGGTTTGCAGGATCGCCTTCTGTCCTGAGACCTTCTGAGCAGCCTTTCTCCAGCTACACTCGTTTCCTCCCACAGACCAAAAACATGCATGTTAGGCTGATTGGTAACTCTAAATTGTCCCTAGGTGTGAGTGAGAGAGTGAATGTTTGTTTGTCTCGTTTGTCTCTATGTGGCCCTGTGATGGACTTGCGACCCGTCCAGGGTGTACCCCGCCCCTCGCACAGTGATTGCTGGACATGGGCACCAGCGACCCCCGTGACCCAAAATGGAATAAACGGGTAAAGAAAATGGATGGATGGTAACTAAATTGTCCATAGTTGTGGGTAAAAGTATGAGTGGTCGTTTTTCTCTTTGTGCCCCTGTGATGGAATTGTGACCTGTCCAGTGTGTACTCCGCCTCTTGCACAGTAACTGTTGGAGGTAGTTACCAGCTTTCCCACAACACAAAATGAAAAGGGAGTAAAGAAAATGGATGATATTACTCTGACACTCCTTAAACATTCATGTTTGATTAACAAGAAGTGCAACTTCCTCCTTTTTGTTGTCAGACTGACTGATCCTATTCCCACCACTGAAACCTCCATCACCCCTCGTCAGAGGCCCAAAGCGGTGCACACTCAGCCTGCTGCTGGCATCCTCCCCATCCAGCCTGCTGCTCTCACCCCTCGCAAACGAGCGAATGTCCCTGGTGGTGTTGCTCAGCCTTTGGGTATGTACGGCACTCTGTCACCATTCTCCTGTCTTTTTAATTAAAACTATGTTCATAAATGAGTCTCTCAAAACCTCTGTGCATATTGAGTGCACCAATTCTCTGCAGGAACAGATCAAGCATGCAGGTTGAGACACAAGCAGATTAAAGCAATCTAACCATAGTTCCAAAGTGATGTGATTTTTTAAAAATATTATTATTCTTGCTCGTCCTGCATCACTGCTTCAAGTGATGTCATTTTTTTCTGTTTTATTAATACATTACTTTGAGGTATGAGTTTGTAACAGATTATCTTTAGTACATTTGAATGATACAGATTTAAATATAGTCAATGCAAATCTACCAATTTATGCTGTCTCATATAAAACTGTATTGAAATGAAATCATGTCTATGCTGTTGTGCTTTGTTTGACATCCTGCAGGAGTCAGCTTAGACCTCTCCCAGCCAGCTGCAGCGCTCCAGTCACAGAAGGGCTGGACGTCAGCGCAGCCTCTCATCCACACACAAAACAATACAAGTCAAGCTGCAGCTTCACAGAAACAGGTACACACAGTCATTTAAATGAGTCTTTTGCAAATTCTTACATATTTTGTGTTGCAGTGGTTGCTTTGACTTTGATCTGATGAACATGGTCAGCTGCGGCAGGCTGTTGTAACATATAATCCAACCACACTCCTATTTCTAATTATTTCTTTACATATCAGTGATTCCTTCTAGTCAAACTGATCTAGTAGGAAAATTTAAATTAACAATATTAATAAAGTATTATTCATTTATTAAGTATAGTTCAAAACCACCACAGTTTATTAGGGTTAACAGAATTTTGCAGTGATAAAAAAATTATTTGAAAAAATCAAAGCAACTGTTATCATTTATTTGACAGGTGGAATATGTATTTCAGTATCAAAAGTTTTGGTCCTCCCAGTCAGCAGTTAGCAGACTAGTAGTTTAGATAAGCCCTCGATTGTTATTTATTTTTATTTTTTTTACTTTTTCTGTCTGTTGGACCTTCAGCCACAGAACTCTACAAAAATATTCTTCTAATCTAAAACAAATAATGTGACTACTTAGAATATTGGGGAAAATTAAGAATTTTGGCCCAGATAAACTTTTGCTCTTTCTTACTAATCTTGATTTTTTTTTTTTTCAGTTTCACATTAAAAATCAGAATTGCACACCATCAAGCTCTCAATAATTGATATAGCCGTGCCCTCTCATGCACACCGAGGGACAATTTAAAGTTACCAATCAGCCTAACATGCAGGTTTTTGGTCTGTGAGAGAAAACCGGAGTACCTGAAAGAACACACATGCACAGAGAGAATCTGCATACTCCATCCAGAAAGGTCCCCGGCTTGGATTTCATCTGGCAACCTTCTTGCTGAGAGACAGTAACTCTACCAACTGAGCCACCGTGCCACTTATAATAAAACTACATTTTCTGTAATACCATTGTAACTTGATAATTTCCCAACAACTGATGTCTGAAATTGCTAGTTGTAGTGTCAAAACTGGATATCTACATCATCTTAATATTTTCATCTATATTCAAAATTACAATTTATATGTAAATGTATTTTTTGTAAAAAAAAAAACAAAAAAACAATTTTTTAGATATTTACAGTACTCAAGACAGGAAGAATATACTTCTGAATATCTGTAGCTGAAAGTCCAACCCATATGTATGAAAAATAAGCTCAATTGTTCTGGGTAAAATTATGCTCGAAATATCTAAAATGTTAAATTTGACCAGAAGAATAAATCATAAAAGAATGATTTTAACTTATTTTCTAACGAATAAATGATAAACAGGTTTACCATACCTGTCAGGGCTACAGGCTTAGGGAATCTGTAAATGTTCTTAATTTTTCTGTTTCAACGTTCCTGCTGCAGTTGGATCAAAATTACCCACGAGGTCTCAGTTGATTCCTCCTGCATTGATTTGAAACGGTTATAGTTGAAAAATAAAATTGCAGCTATTGCTTTTTTTTTAGAACAGACTTTGCCTCATATACAGTATTTGTGTCTGACTGTGCAGCCAGCTGCTGCTGCTGGAGGAGAGACGGCAGCATCACAAGTAGTTCAAGCCGATGCCGCACCGCAAGCACAGCCAGCATCCCAGCAGCAGACCACACCTCCCTCTGTAGTCGGCTCCACTTCCCAGCAGGCCGCACAGACTCCGTCCAGCCCCGCCCCACCTCAGCGCCCGGCGCGTCGCAAGCAGACAAACCAGGCTCAGCAGCCAGACACTCAGCCTTCTCCCAGCAAACCGGCGTCTGGTCAGCCGGCAGTAGCTCCACAGCAGGAGATCGTTCAACCATCAGCCCAAACTCGGCCTGCTTCCAATGAGATCAACCAAATATCATCCCAGATAGTAAGAGCCCCCCCCCCCCCCCCTTCAAACACCTGAACACACAGGAGCGCTGTGGAGCTACCAATTGTATTTTTTGTCCTCTTTTATATATATTTTTATTCTGCCTTCTTGTTCTATCTTCTTGATCAGACTCCACCTGAGACTCCAAAGACAAGTGAAGAACGAGGTGAACCGAGTGAAGCGCTAGTTCCGGTCAACGACTCCTCACAGCCGCTGCAAGGAGACGACGGAAGTGCTGCTGTCAGTCAGTAAGTTTTTCATCTTTGTTTTACGCATCCAGACCTACGTAAGAAAAGTCATGTTATGTAAAAAAAAAATTAAAGACTTCCCTTTTTACCATGACCTCTGCCTTTGTTGCGTTCATGAGATAGTTGTGTTTGTAATTCATCTTGTAGATTACCAACATCTCCACAAAGCCAGTCGGTTCAGCCCAACCTTTGTGATGCAGCACAAGACCAAAGCACAGCTGCATCCACTGTTCACACCTCTGCTGGTGCTGCCAACACCTCCACACAGCCAGCGTGGAACCCGTTCGACGACGATGACTTCTCCAACCTCGCTGCTGAAGGGTTCAAAACTGATGACAAAAAGACGACTGGTAATGCTCGTTTTTATTTTTTTCATATGAAATATTTTGAGGTTCGTTGATGTTAGATTATGAAGACGATTCTGCTATTACCTTATTGTTATACCATTAAAATAGGGGAGAGATACAGCAATGATTGGTACATCAAAAAATCCAAATCTGTTCACTATTTTCAAAAAAAGATGAACAGTTGTGACTGATAAGATGGATTTTTTTTTGGTACTAGATTTACTGTCAGATTCAGAGGCAGCATCACCTGAAGAGCTAATACCAGGTCTGCAGGCCTCATCCATGGAAGATGCAGCTCAAGAAACAGGTATGCTACTTTAAAAAAAAACTACATTCAACAAATCAGGAGTTTTTGTTTTCTTCTTCGTGTCTGTAGGGCTGAAAGCAACAACAGTTTCATTTTTAGAGTGCTCCAGTACAAGACAGGAAAATATGAATCTTTTAACTGTCAACTTTTCTTCATCGTGCTCGTTAAATGCAACACGTCAGAAATTAAGGCCGAAATGAAGCAAGTTTGCCTGCCAGTGTTGTGTGTGAATTTGTGTATTGAAATTAAACTTTTGTTAAAGCACAGTAAGCTTTTAAAGTTCAATTTTAAATAATCTCTATAAAGGTTTAAATGGTAAAAGTAGTTTATGTTTAATTTAAAACCAGCTGAAAAGGACAATATTGCTTATCTAAACGAGGTAAATCCATTCACTTTCTTGGCCTGCTTTTCATGCAGGGTGGCGGGAGAAGCTTGTGCCTATTTCCTGCGGTAACTGTGCGAGATGCAGCTACACGCTGGACAACATTTTTAGCTTTTTTTCACACTGATCCTGAATCATTCATGGATTTCTCTGCTTCTTGTGTCTCAGCTGAAAGACCAGCTGCTTTTGGGGACTCGGGAGCCTCACTGCTGGTTGTCCCAGATCCTTTCCATGCCCTCGAACTGTCAGACACTCCAGGTAAATATCCGGCTCTGCTCATCAGTTCTGTACACATGCATGTATAGTATTCTCTTTAGGTCGTTGCACACATTTTGTACTTTTACTTTTAGGGTTTCTACGACTGCAGGGATCTCTTGTAAAAGTTTTTGATTTTATATGATGTTTCTAAGGTTTAAAATGTATTTGAATAATAGAACTGCTGCCTGATTTATTTAGTATCTCCTATTTAGATGGGAGGGAAACAGATTTTCCATTTGTTTTCATTTCAGTAGATGATTTTAAAATGACTACTGTATTTTTCACCCTATAAATTGCAGTTTTTTGCAACTTAAACGCCGAAGCGACATATTTATGGATATTTCCTATATTTATAAACTAATTTCTGGCTGAGATATGACAGTTTTCATTCATTCTGACTGAAAATATTGAACACTACACTTTTCAGCTGCTGGATTGTACTTGAGTAGTGTGGCATGCCGTTGTATCATGTAATACGTAAAAGTGGCTATTAATGACACAATCAGCTTGCCATTGACTGCCAACCTCGTCTGCCTGGAAAAACCATCAAATCAGCTTCATTTCTCTGCACCGCCCCGGTGAAATGCAGCTGATTTGACCGTCAAAGTGCATTTATTAAGTAAAAGTTCAACTGAGACACACCTTTACTATAAAGTCCAGCAAACAAATAATTGTTTTAGGTGCTTATCTTGTTAAATTATTGTTAAAGTCCTCCCAGCAACATATTTATGGATTTTATCACTTTATTAGCCATATTTGGACTGATGCGACTTATTAGTTGGTGCAAAGTGTACGGTGGAAAGTACTATACTCTTATATGAATCTGCATCTGTCTGGATTGTAATGTGTATAACAGATTAAGAACATTAAAGAACCTTGTCGAGTGCCTTCCCAAAAATATGGCTACTACTATTCTGATATTTTGAGCAAAGAGTTATTTGAAATTAAAGTAACTTGTTCAAAGTTTGTTTTGAATCCGCACAGACGGTTTAAGATGCAAAGTTTGCTTTTTTTAAAACATTACAAAATTGAAGTAATAAAGTAACATCTGAGTTTGTGATTAAAAAAATATGAAATCGTCCTCTGGAGTAAATATATACTGTTTTAGAACATGTTTTTATCATCACATTAAGTGGATGGTAAAGTTGAAAATTCACATAAAACTGCCAACAAATGATTCAGTGAGGCTTTAGGAACACACAGATCTTGTTTTCTGAAAGTATGAAATAGCAAGTTATCTAAATCTGATATTGCACAAGCGTAGTAAAAACTTTCAGTTTTTGTTCTCAAGAAGATGTTGAAAATTGTGTTTTAATAAAAGCGTGATTTAAAATGAACATGATGGAAATACATAAAAAATGGAAAATGCTAGTAATCAACTTCTACCACTGCTGTGAAAGTTTCTTCATTTTGAACGCTTTTTAAACTTCAGTCATGTGTAAACAGGGTAACACCTTGTTTTCCGTTGGTGAATCTGTTTTTATTCACCTTTTCCTTCATTCTTTCTGGCTCTTAGAGAAGCTGATCGAAGGACTGAAATCTCCCGACACGTCTTCACTCCTGCTTCCTGATCTGCTGTCGTTGTCCGATCCTTTTGGTGAATCTGTGCAGTCCGTGAAAGGTACGCATTATATGTTCCAATATCAAATAAAGGTTTATAAAAACAAAGAACAGAAGCTTTCACGGTTTTGGATCCTGTAGAGCCCATCTTAAAAATATTGTAAATTCTTTCAGGGGCAGTTTGGCTTTTGTTTTTATGTTCAGACAGAAACATTAATAATGTGCTGAGCAGACGATCAATGCAGAGAGTTAAAGTACAAAAACAAAACTACTTTTATATTAACTAAATGTTTTTTTTTTTAATTAAAAAGTGGTTGTTTATGGACATTTAGGACATTGTCCTGCTGTATTTTGGACATTTTGTAATTGATGAACAAAAAGAAGGTTGCTTAATTTCCTTTAAAGCACATACAAGTTGCAGCATATAATTCAGAGAATTTAGAGAAAGCTACATAACTAATAATATAATATTTGGTTTCTCCTGGCCTGACTCAGACCCCCTCGCTGCAGACGACTCTCTGCTGAGCTGCTCTCTGATCTCCAGTCCACCTCCTCCTGCAGGCAGCACCACTTCCTCTGTCTCGTCTGCTCCCACCTCCGCCACCTCTGCTTTGGATGATTTTAGCTTGTTGTCCGGAGACTCAGTGCAGCCTAAAGGAGGTAAGCTGTAGGAATCCTACTGGAGAAGCTCCTCGTCTTAATCACACACGTATATTTGACCAGCTGCTCTGAGATGAATGTTCTATAAACACTTGTTTTCCTCCAGTGGCTGGGTCTAGCTTTCAGTGTCTGCAGATGGAAGACTCCTTGTTCTGGTCACTGGAAAAGGAAGTAGCAATTAATCAAAAGAAAAAGCTGCAACAGTTTACAAGCTCTTGGTTTCGGGGGGAAAAGTAAAGGCGACACACGAACCAAAGTATAAAAAATGTTTTTGTATTCTGAAGATGGATTTCTCTGTGCTTGTAACCTGATCAAATGAGATGGTAAACGTCTAAATTACAGGCTTGTCCTCTGTGTCCTCATTGTCTCCAGCCAGTTTTGGGAGGCCACGTGAACTGTAACAGAAGCGGCTGTAAATCTAACAGGCACAGGCTGTCCTTTTCTTAAACAGAGGTCATTATTATGTGCTTCCTTAAGCAATGCAGTTTAGCCTCTATTCTGCATGTTAAAGTACAGAGCAGGCCGTCTTTTACCGTTTGGAAAATATATAGGAGAGAAACGTGCAGAAAATCCGATTCAGTGTGCAAATATTTTCTCAGACCGCAGTTGTCTGGCTTCCTGGAACCATCTGCTCAGTCTCTGAGAAAACACTGGTCTCGCTGCAAATTTTTAATCGGCATCAACCAACTAAGTCAGGTTAGACTGATAAATTATAGTATTCGGTAGGGATGCACGATATTGGATTTTTGGCCGATATGTTAAAACTTATTTGGCCAATATCGATATTTTATATATTTTCCTTTGTCAGAACATAGCCCTTTTATTTAGGCTTATTTGCTACAAAAATTGTGTAACAGCTGTAAGAGCTGGTGACATATTCAGTAACAGCCATGCATAGCACTTTAACTTCTATTAAATGAAAAGTGTTAAATGTTATTTATTAGCATTAGTCACCTGCGTTGCTGTCTCACTTGTGGAGGCTTGTTCCAGGTTCCTAGCTGCAGTGTGGGATCCTCTGCACTCTTGTGCATGAAGGACAGACTTTAAGTTAAAAGTTTTTGTCTATCCATTCTTGTGCCGTACTAATCATGCTATCGGGGCTAACACGACGTCCAAATGTCTGTGGTAAAACTCACCCAAGTGCTATCAGCTATTAGCTTCTCAATGACGTCGGAAATGACGGCTTGTAACTCGGGTAAGGCTACGTCAGGAAAACATCACCGTCTGGGGACGATGTAGCAAGGCTCAACGTTGTCCAAAAATCTTCAGACTCCGACATCCTCACCAACGAAACAAAACTTCCACACCGCCGACATTTTGAATTTTCCTCTCCACCGTGAGATCAGGTAGACGCACGTGACGTCATCACGTTGTGCTGCCGCTGCAGGTGTCCTTGTCACTGGGTTGTCATACAAAAACAGCGTCTTTTATATCAGTATTATTTTGATGGAATGACCAATATTTAACTTTAATGCTAATATCGGCCGATACCATGCCGGTAATATCGTGCATCCCTACTATTCGGATAAAATATTTCAAAGATGTATCAACCATTTAAACATTAAAAGATGAAATATATATGTATCTAAAGTCTCTAATTGTTTTTTTTAAACTCAGGACAACAGGAAAATAATCTGCAAACCTGCAAATTGTGACACAGAAATTGTTTTATGTTGACATTCCATCAACTGGCATCCCAGTTCATTACCGTCCTTTGATCTGAGAGGTTCACTTGAGAAGTATTTGTGAGGAACAAGGTCATCCTTCACAGAGTGTCAGATATGTCATCTTTAGAAAACGGTCGATTGGACAGTTTCGATTTTGCTCCAGATTCAGACTTTTAACTACAGGATATCGTCAGAGGCATTTAAATCCTCATCTTCTGTTTATTTTCATACTTTTAAAAAATTTAGATATTAAAATAGTATATTGATTAAAGTGTTTTCTGCGCTGACTGGATTCATCCATCCAACTGAAAGCTGCACAGCGGTTAAGTCATAGGTCCTTTGCTGGTGAACAATAATTGTTTTACTGCTGCTGACTCTGCCAAGCTTAAATCACTACCTCATGCTCACATGCTGAATTCAGATAATCACTGTTAACCTCTTCTCTAATATAGTTCAGGCAGGTTCTGTGCGACCGGAGAAGCAGACGCGTAGAAATAATCGATTTATGAACATTTCTAAATCATCTGAGAGGAAGATAAAGGATTTATTCATCATGTTGTCAAAGAAAAATGTAGAAGCATCAATGTAGGAATGAAATAATAAAATCAGTTGTTTTAATTGCTCTCCTCTCCTAACTTGAACCAAACCTTTTTTGATTGCCTCTGCAGACTCGTCTCTTCTGATCTCAGACTTTGAGGCCCAACAGACGAGTGCAGGAGCCGCCACGGAGGATGAGTTTGACCCTATTCCTGTCACAGGGCGCAAAAATTCCCAAGGTATGTCTTTAAATCTTCTCAAAGGTGGGTCCAGAACAGCTGCCTTGATTTTTCCTAAACCAAAAATCTAATGGCTCAGATTAGAAATTTAAGAAGTGATTTATTTGTGCTTGAAAAGTTGTAGCATCAAATGGGTCAATTCTTTCATTTTCAACCTTTTTTCTCTCTCTTTGACTGCTTTGTTTGCTCTTTGTGACTCCTCTGCTCCTCTCCTCTGTTTGTCCGTACTCGTCCCCCTGCCCTCCCGCCTCTCCCCTTGTCTTTCTGTGTGCTTTCTGTTTTCGGCCAGTTTCAGGAGGCCACTCGCGCAGTAACAGTGGCGGCTCTGAATCCAGCCTGCCCAGCTTGGCTCGCTCCCTGCTGCTGGTGGACCAGCTCATCGACTTGTAGACGGCCCCCCCTCCCCCCCGTAGAAGCTGTAACACTGGATAATAGTCTGGCATAGCATAACAGCAGTCAACACTGTTGTCATGGCTAACTTCCTGCACCTGCCCCCCCCCCCCCTGACTGTCATCTTCATTACATTAGCATCTGTCACCTTTCAGCGCCTCTTCATTCCTGCTTTCCGCCTCATCCATAGCATTATCTGCCTTCTCTCATCTCGTCCTCGCTTCCTCTTAGTTGTAGCCTCCACGCATCATGTATTTCCCATCGAGAAAACAGTGGCAAATTCACCGTCACCATCTGTTCTGCAGTTTGTTTTTCTGTCAATCAGGAGAAAACTATATCAATTTGAAGAATACCGCATTATGTCTAACAGCATACAAGAAAAGATCATTGTTGTAATGTATAATAGACATAGTTCTAAGTGGTTGTAGTAATCGTGCACAAGTGAAATTGTTGTTGTTTGCCTTTTTTTTTTCTCCCCAAAATTATTTGCACATTTTAAGGGGGAAAAAAAACTAAAATAATTAATAACCATTCATTAAAAGGACATTTGTTTGTATTAGCATAGCAGAAACTTCTTTGAAACTTAAAATATAAATTTTAATGCTTCATTTGCACAGACGCTTAAAGGTTATCCCTTATCAGAGCTATAGAACAAAATATCTTTACTGAAATAAAGCTGCTATAGATTAAAATCAACATGGAGGTGAGTCACAATCTGGAAGCAGAACAGCCATTACACGATGCTGAAGTGCCATAAAGTTGTCCGAGAAGCAAACGGGTTCAGAAAGTGGAGCTGCAAAACAACAATCCAGTCATATGGTGTGAAAAACACGTGTCTTTTAGGCCTATTGTCAACTGCAGGTGAAATTATTTTCCTATTTATTTAAATCAAATCAAGCTGAAAGTTGTGTTGGAATACAGTGATAAATCAAGGTAATTTAGACATGTTGATAGCAGCGTGCCATATCAGTAAATAATACATAAAATCATGAAAACAATTTGATATAGTAGTAGTTTTGGGGAACAGCAGAAGAACAGTAGCATTTATGTACAGACAGAACACTCATGACTACTCAAGCCACTTATTGGCGGTAACAGAAATCCCATTAAATTGATATTTTTCACAGATTTCCTTTTATTACACCCCACACATTAATACATGTATTTGTGTAATTCCTCCTACATTCCTCATATTTGTTTACTCCTTGTGTAAATAGATATCTGCAACGACTCCTGCAGCCTCTGATCCAGATATTAAGTCATTGTCATACAGCTTTACTTGTGGAAGACATGTTTCTTTACTTGTGAATTTGGTGTACGTTTTATATATATATATATATATATATATATATAAACACACACGTATGACGTTGTTTTCCTGTTAATATATGTTAATATGAATAGAGTGTTAGAGAATGAATGTAAAAAATAAATATTAGTCTATATTAAAAATTAATGATTCTTAACATCATAATTGTTCAAGAATATTGAAGAGTAACTATAAATATTTCATTCCTCTGTGCGGAGTTGTGTGCTAAAGTTTTATTTTATTTTTCTTCTTGGTTATATTTACTCATTCACTGTTGGAACATAATAATGTATAGATGATAAATCTAGTCTAACCTGAAAGATTAGGTGTAATCCCGTGTCTTATTCCAGCCCTTGTGAAAAGATAAGTGACGTTAATGTTTGTTTACATGGACTAATGAAGGATTATATTTTTATTCAGATTAGTCTTTTAGTGAAGCGGGAGATTATCTTTTGAAATTCCGTCTGTTTTAATTTGAATTTGTGCTTTTTAAGGATTTCATCGACCCGGCCCTGTCTGGTGATCACAGGATTCATATCAAAAAGCATGGGGGTGTTGTTGAACGTTAACGTTCCCGTGCGTTAGTGTACAGTGTTATGAAAAGCGCGCGTGTGTGGAGTCTGAATCGGTGAATGTGTTTTTCATTTGTCTACTTGTGGTGTCGTTTGATGCAAATCTGGAAGTGGTCAGTTTGTCATTAAATCTCTGAAAGCACAGGTTCTCCCTTATCCCCTCCTAAATTCTCTCAGGTGGTCAGAGCTGCACGTGCAGCGACCTGACTTACTGCGCTCCAGTCTCTGTCCTCTAGATATCTGTCTTTATTCTACCAGTTTACAGAATTGTCTGGTATTTAATGTGTGAGGGGCTCTGAAAAGTGCCGGTGTGTCTGGTTTGATTATCACACAGCAGCGTTAGAAACACTATCCAAGTGTAGAACAGTAATAGATGTTTTAAAGGAAGGTGTCATGGCTAACGAAGAAAAGCTACTTTCATCCGCAGTTATCCATGTTCTTTTCTAAACAGGACATGATAAAGCACACCAAACGTTTTGGAGTGAGAGCTTACTAATAACAGATGGTATCTTGAAGTAATCCGAATTTAGTTTTTTTTAATTTTGGTGCTGGCAAAGTGACAAAAGCTTGATGGGTGTTGGCTAACTGTGTTTTAACTACCTATGTGCAATATCAAACAGATTGCAGTTAGCATTTGAGCGGCTAATGTCAACGTTGGAGAGATTACACAGATCTTAAAACAATGTTTTGATCATTTGAACTGGGGTTCTGTGGCAAGGTTCAGAACAATAAATATCTTACCTGTTTTGGATGACTTTTTTTTGGAGCAAAACAGTCCAGTTATGACAATTTAGATGAGCCAACAGCTGGTCTGAACAGAAATGAGACCAAAGTGGATTGCTTTGATCTTGAAACATATTTAATCTAAAACAGTTTAAAGTGCTTTGACAAACACTATTTTATAAGTCCTCACTGTCAGTTTTGTAATCTTTGGGTATGTACATAAAATTTGGGAAGTCTGGGGCAATTCTGGCAGAATTACTGTAACATTTCTGCTGAAATAACAGCTTAATATCAAATTGATCGTGGTGTAAAAGTTTCTAAAATAACTTTCAAGATTTTTTTGGATCTGCAACTTACTTTGGTTTTGTTCCTCTTAGTCTCTGACTAGCATTAGCATTTCCAAACTGTGGTTGTATAAAGGGCTATCTACAACAGGTAAGATATTAATTGACCACAACCTTTTTTATCAACTCCGCTTGAAAATTTTTGAACTATTGCTTTAAAGTCCAGAATAGTGCCAAAAGCATTGAAAGCACTTTGTGATGTACTCAAATGTTCTTTCATCAGGTTGGTGATATTATTATTACATATTAGCACGTTTATTTTAGCTCTACCAATCTGCCCCCAAACACAGTTTTGAGTAGCGGGCTCAACCCAAATGATAAATTATAATGATTTTTGGTGAAAACCTGACATTGGAAGCCATTTACACAGCCTCTGTTGTATTTGCTGCAGTCGCTGCATGTCTAAAGGAAGGATTCTGTTCCTCTGTTTACGATCCTTCCTCTGAACAGCTCAGTCGTTCGCAGTTACTGTTTGAACCTATGCAACTCCCGAGCTTTCTCCCCGTAAACGTTAGTGTGCTGTTATAATCACAAGCTAACTTAGAGAAATAACTGATGTGGAACAGAAGCCCCGTTTTCTTTTTCTGTTATCTTGCCAAAAAATAAAAGCTAACGATATGAGACTATGAAGTGTTTTTGAGATGCGCTTGTCATTATGGCCCATACCTGCGTCAGAGCTGTGATACAGTGTGCTCCTATTTTTGTGAGATTACTTAAGAATTATTAAGGGATGGCAAATAAAGTACAAATGTGAATGTCAACATGTGGAGTTTTTATTTTTTATTTTTTCAAACACCACGAGGTGCAACTTAAACATGGTAATGATGACTGTTTTACATAAAACTCCTGTTAAAATGTTTAATTTATTGTGGTTCACAAGTTATTTCTAAAATATTTTAAACTACTTTGTTTTGGGCGGACGAAAATTGTAATTTTTTAATAATGGCTTCTCTTAAAAAATGAAGATTAAGTCATTTAAAGTTAAATTTTAGAATATTTCTAAACATTTAATTAACTGCCATCCATTTTCTGTGCCTGATCTTATTAAATTTGAACTGGGGTAAATTTAAAAAAAAAAAGATTTGCTGTCTGAATTCATTTTAGGTTTGGGCATAAGTCATAGTATTACAAGAATAAAGTCGTATCACAAGTCATAATATTTGAATAAAGTCATATTACAAGAATATTATAATAATATATAGTATTACTAGAATACATTTGTAAAATTACAATAATAAAGTCTTGGAATTACAAGAATAAAGTTGTACAAGAATGATGTTGAAATATGAGAATAAAGTTGTAATATTACGTGAATAAAGTCATAATATTACGAGAATAAATTTGTAGTATTATGACAATAAAGTCATAGCATTACAAGAATAAAGACGTACAAGAATAATGTTGAAATATTACGAGAATAAAGTCGTAATATTATAAGAATAAAGTTGTAAGATTACTTGAATAAAGTCATAATATTATGAGAATTAAGTTGTAGTATTATGACAAAGCCATAGCATTACAAGAATAGACGTACAAGAATAATGTTGAAATATTACGAGAATAAAGTTATAGTATTACGAGAATAAAGTTGTAATATTACGTGAATAAAGTCGTAATATTACAAGAATAACATTTTAATTTTACGAGAATAATGTAATTTACGAGAATAAAGTTGTAGTATTATGACAATAAAGCCATAGCATTACAAGAATAGACGTACAAGAATAATGTTGAAATATTACAAGAATAAAGTCGTAGTATTACAACAAAAAGGTCTTAATATTACGAGAATAAAGTAATAATATTACGAGAATAAAGTCATAATATTACGAGATTAGTCATACAAGAATATTGTTGAAATATTACGAGAATAAAGTCGTACAAGAATGTCAAAATACGAGAATAAAGTTGTAATATTACAAGAATAAAGTTGTAACATTATCCGAACTCCCAACACGAAAGAGCAATCTTACAACTGCATTAAATGTGGATGGGGTCATAATTCACAAACAGTGACCCAAAAGTGATCGCAGACACAGGACATATGAGTTTATTCTCGTAATACTACGACTTTATTCTCGTAATACTATGACTTTATTCACGTAAATTTCAACTTTATTCTCGTAATATTACGACTATACTCATAATTTTATGACTTTTTTTCGTAATGTAATTTTTTTTCTTAGCGTGGCCTTAATAGTCCGTCGTATCCTCCAGACTTAAGAGGAAAAGAAAAATCTGTGCTTTTATGAGCAAACAGTGCAAAAGACAGAATTTGTGACAATGTGGGCACGTTAACTGCACATGGCATGATAAACTTACTGGAAAAATGGCAAACCACATCCGCAGCATTCCTCTGCAGTAATAGAGTCTGTCTGCAGAACAGACTTGACACCAACAGAAAACACATGTAGCTTCATAAAACAAAGTAAAATATGTTTTTATCTGGTGATCAGAGGACGATCTACCTGAGGAGGGAAAAATCCCATATGTTCAAAATTCAATCGCTGTTTTCCTATTTTTCTAATTCCTAATATAAAGTAGGAATATTTTTCTTTTTGGCTGAGCATTTAATTTTTTTCACTGAGTATTTATTATGAACAAATGTGTCGGATGAGAAAGATTTCAAGAGAGACAAAGTTAAAAATATGTAAAACACAACTGCATTTTCTGCTTGGACAGAGCTGCAAGGCTGCTCAGGTAAGAACAAACATCAACTTTATGTTCGTTCATATTTCCATCCTTTTTAATCACTTCTTTGGCTCAAACTTTAAAGTTCCCTATTGATCCTCTCAGTCACTGCCATGTTTATTATTGCTCATCTCGGTGAAATAGTTATTTAACTGTCAGTGTCTGATTTCATGTAATGAAACTCACCAAGTCATCACTGGATGAACAACTGATTAACTTTTGGAGTCAACCCAGTCAAAGATGGCTGGTGCAGCTAATCAACCTCAACAAATACAAATTTTTGGCCACAATTCTGACAGTTTTTCAGATACTGAGCTAAACTTTGGTGTAGTAGCTGAGAGTTCTCCCCAATTTATACTTTAAGAACTATCAGATTGCACGTCTCTGTTGAGAACTTTGGCATGCAAAGTGGCTAGCTTCAAAGCATGCTGCTTTTTCATTTATTCCTAAAATACCCAGCTAAGCCTGGTTTTTAAACAATTCTTCCATCAGATTTAAATAAAAAAAAAATTAAATCCCTTTCACTGATAGTTTAAGCTTACTGATTTTTTTAAGATCATTGCATGAAGGTGCAACTCTGCCACTTGTTTTGCCACGGAAACATAAGAATAATCTATTTGTGTTATCAGTTTTGTTTAAAACTTTTTGTTAATTTTTACAATTTTAGTTTTTACGATCAGATAGCGGGCAGCACGGTGGCACAACTGGTAGAGCTGCTGCCTCTCAGCGAGCAGGTTACCATGGTTCAAATCCCAGTCCGGGGAACTCTCTGGGTGGAGTTTGCATGTTCTCTCTGTGCATGTGTGGGTTTTCTCTGGGTACTCCAGTTTCCTCCCACAGACCAAAATCAAGCATGTTAGGCTGACTGGTAACTAAGTCTAGGCCTGTCACGATAACAAATTTTGCTGGGCGATTAATTGTCTCAGAAATGATTGCGATAAACGATAATATTGTTTGAAATTTGACAATAATTGGTCATTATTGACAAATTTAAGAAGAAATGTTGGTTAATATGTTTTGCGTGTAGTGCCTTATTTTGACCACCGGATGGCAGTATAAGATTGAACCGAAGGATGGATAGTGAGGGAGCGAGCAGTGTGTCTCTTTAAGAAAAATGAGAGGGAGGCCTCTTGACATGACATGGGTTGTCTCCTTCCTTTATTTGGTTCTCAAAATGGTGGACGCTCGGTATGGTTTGAGCTCTTTAACATAGTCACACAAAACTTTTTAAAAAATCAGTAAACAAGTTCTCAGCTTCTCTTTGCAGAGAAAAACAACTTTTTAGACGAAGGCACAGGTTTCAACTGTGAATTTTGGAGCTTTGACAAGACGGAGGTTTTTCCCAAGGTCGGCCTGTTAGCTTAGCTTGTAGCTTAGCTTCTCAGCTTAGCTGCTTTTAACAATCAAAAAATGTGATTTTTGGATGGTTAAAATGGATTTTAAAGAGAAAGGGAGGGGTCAGTGAAGAGCACCAGAGTTGAGCCTTTTGTCATCTTCAGTAGAAAGAGACAAAAACGATAAAGCCAATAAATGAAAATGAGGTTGATAACTTTTATTTATCACGCGATTAATTGATTTATTTTTTATCGCGACAGGCCTGTCTAACTCTAAATTGTCTCTAGGTGTGAGTGAGAGGGTGAGTGGTTGTTGTCTCTATGTGGACTTGCAACCTGTCCAGGGTGTACCCCGCCTCTGATGATAGCTGGACATGGGCACCAGTGACCCCCACAACCCAAAAAGGAAAGAAGCATGTAAATATAATGAATGAATGGATGGATGGATGGACGATCAGATAACAGTCTCTCATCATTCTTCCTTTTTTGTTTCCACACACAGACCTGCAGAGGGAGCTCAGCACTAACAAACAGCGAGCCACTGCAGCTGTGCAACTCCTCAGTGAGGAGAAATCAAAGCCGAGGATCCAGCAGAGTGCCGCCGCATGTGCTGTTAACAACACAGACAGAATGCTGTCGGATGAATGGGGCATTCAGCACCGCCCTTTACAAACTTATTGCACCGGTCATCATTTCATCCCTGACAACTACAATCCCCAGTTCCTGCCTCCCAGTAGTTCAGTGATATCTGATGTCTTCCAGCTGGTGCCTTTTAAACCACCAGGAAACGACAGCAGAATGGCACTCAGCAACTCTGGTTCTGCGGCTCAGAAACCTGCTGAGACGGCTGATGTTTTCCTCCAGACGCCATTTGGAAAAAGGCAGGAAACCAGCAAAGCTGCTCCCACTGATGTGCACATATTTAAGCCCAGTGCACGGCAGCTCCACAACAGCAAGCAGCACCCCCTCAATGCCTGGGCAGCTCCTCTGCACACAGAGACTCCTCTGCTCCAGCAACCCATGGCGGTGCACCGGGTCGTCTCCAGGGTTGGTCAGCAGGCCGCTGTGGGCTCCGTGGCAGTGGGGCCTCTGCGTTCTTGGACTATAGTGGGAAAAACTCTCAATGACCCGTTCAATGCGGCACCTTTTCAGCCAAGATGGTCTAAAGGGAAACCATAATTGTCTTAAAACTTTCTTTAGAAAGTGCCTTATTGGAGCTTTTTACACAAACAAAGAAGCCAAAGACTAGTTCAGTAGCAGTATTACTTAAATCCCAAATGTAGATTCACCTTTAATAACGTTACTAAAGATGTTATATTTAAGGTTCTACCTCAGTCATGTCATCAGCTTTCAGTGTCTGTGGTCATCATATCAAATCAGAATTAAACAGTAGATGCAGGAATTTTATAAGCCTATATAAAAAAATGCTTTTATAAAACTATTTCTGTGCATTATACTGGAAAATATGAGTAGCTTTGGTTTAAAATTGCTTATAAATTCATGCCCTTTTTAAATATTTTGTTTACATTTACTTGCATATTGTGCTTTTATCATCCTTTTCTCAGCATTCATTATTAGTGAGAGTTAGCATTTTACTGCAAGCCATATAAATTGTTTAAAGAAGAACAGCCTCTCAGTAATAAATGCACTTTTCATTATAAAATCCTCCTAGAATCCCAAATGGCTGTTTAAAAAAAGAGCTGAATGTAATCGGTAATCTCGAACAGCTGTATTTCTCCAGAGGAACGTAGAGTTTTATTATGACTTACTGTTTTATCATGGAGTGTTTTGCTTTTGTATTAGGATTTAAAATTATGTATCAGAATTTTTATTTCTTTGTATTTAGCAACATTTTGTTAATTGTACCTCCTTATTCCAGGTCATATTCTGTCAGGTGCAATTCTGGATCTGTACACTGTATTATCTGGTTATTATTGCTGGATAAAAATAGAATTTACTGATGAAAATTAAATGGTTAATTAGAATTATTTTTCTGGTCCTTGCTTTAAGTATTAAAGTTTTTATTTTATTTTTTTCCCCCCCAGTACAAAATCTTGGTGCACTCTGGTTCTGTCTTTGCTCTGACTATGTTAGCTCATCAGTTGGGTCAAATAACCTTTTTATTCTCCAAACTGAGGCTGCTCGAAGAGCTATCTACAACAGGTAAGATACTGTTTATAACTGACCTGATGGACCATATAAAAGGAGTTGTGTTTTGAAAGTCCCTTATCTTTATGGGTTAAATAAGTAGATGTTTCAGTTTGTGCTCTAAAGCTGAATGACGTTGCACAAGTAGCTGCTTGTCTTTTGTAAAATACAGTTTGGGCAAACAGTAGTGCCTTTCCATTCAACATTTTTGGATTAACTTTCTCTTAAACTAATTAAAAAATGCAAAAGTAAAATGGAAAATAAGGTTGATCCAAAATCAAGAATACCCCTTTTAATTGTTAGAGCCTATAAATACCCAGCATGCAGTCTGCTGCCAAAAAAACTTGGAAGGTCATTTGAGTGTGTTTAAGATGAGGTGGAGCCATGTCTTTTATAACGGCTTAAGGTAAAAAAAAAAAGGTAAAATAAAAAATAGATTAAGATCCATCATTTTAAGGGGACTGCATGGAAAATAAAAAGCAAGTCAGATTCTGAGCAGTTTTCTTGAAGTAAATGGATCCGTTTGAATGGAAATTGATAAAGCTATAGATTTAAATGTAAATTTGCATGCGTCTGCCAAAATAAAAGCATCAAAATACCAGAAAAGGCGGACTCCTGGCCCTCTGGACTTTTTACAGTTTCATTACAGCTGAATTTTAGTCATGTCTACAGCTGTTTTTTACAACTGCTTTGTTTCTGGAAGTTTTCTCAAACCCACAAAACTGCAGCTTAGACTGTCTTTTTAAACATTTCCAAATGTAAAGTAAATATTAACCAGAAACGTGGAAAATGGGATTTTTTTTAAGGTCTGAGTGGAATAAAACACATCTGACAGACTGCTTTGTGGCTGGTTACATAATGTCACACTCTAATTTATTTTTTGTTCTTTTTTGTCTTGTTTCTTCTAAGAATAAAGAAACGATCATTTGCAGATATCTGGCAAAAGTTCTCAAAATCTGACACATCCTCCTCTGTACTTTTAACATTTCAGTTTTAATCTGTGGCCCTCATTACGTCTCCTGACAGGTTTTATTCCCTCTGCAACTTCTCTTTAATCGCTTTCAAACCTTAGATCTTTCTAATTGTTGTCTTCTGCAATTATCTCTTCCAAAAGGGATGGAATGTATCTGGCTTTTTAATCGCTTCACATTTACCAATCATGCTTTATTTCCATCATAAATAATGTTAAATCTGTTTTGGTTACATTTTACTGGAAAGCATGCAATGCCTTATCTCACTTTAGCAAACTGTTGCCAACTTGTCTCCAGACTTTGCACACCCAACTAGTTAGAAAAAAAGATTCATAATCCTGAAAAAGGATAAACAAAACAAGAGCCCTCATTTGGCCTTAAAGCATATCTTGGATGAAGACTTTTGCCTCTTTCTCCATAACCTCAGGCTCAGTGACATCACAGCTGACCAGGTGCTCACCATTAGAAAGGACATCACTTCAAAAATGACTGGAATAGCCCTTTAAGGTGCACATGGTGAGCAAAACTATCAGGAAAGTTCTTATAATGTCTCTGCACACCTGCTGAACTGTAAAACATAAAAACTCATGTTGAAAATGTTAAATTATCTTAGCAAAGGATCAAACGTATAATAATAATAATGTGTTATGCAGTAGTGGGGAAAGTACTCGAACACTGTACTTATGTAAAAGTACAAATAAACGGACAAAAATGTACTCTAGTAAAAGTAGAAGTACCACATTAACATTTTTAGTTAAGTAAAAGTAAGTATTTGCTTTTAAAAATACTTAAATTATTCAAAGTAAAAGTACTTTCAGAATGTATTACCTAATATTGGTCTACAATATCATTAAGTGTGCCTACCATATGTATATTTTCTGTAATACATTAATAGTGTTGTGTCATTTTACTGAACAATGCTGCAGATAATACATGTTTTTATTGTGTTTACTCTGTGACACAGTTCACACTTGGACTTGTGATTCTGTGCATCAGAATTTCAGGGATGACATGCAGAGTTAAATGCCATTAAGTAAAATAATAAAGAGGAATAATTATACCTATGAAAGTTATGATTTAACACAAAGCAAAACCAGTGTGTCATTTTAACTGCAGTAAACACATTTAAGTAAAAGTTGTCTGCCTGAAAAAAGGAATATTAGACACAACTAACAAAGAAATAGACTGATCATTTCAACTCCAGTTTGTCATTAACTCTAGTTAAAATACTGTCTGGTCAACCTTGTAATGGGTCAATAGTGAACGATATTTTAACTTCCTGACATCATTTTCAAAACTTAGACCCAAATGTCGAGCCATTTAGAGACATCTCTTGTCTCCTAACATCCCATGAACTGACACATTTTAATGTTGAAGCAAGAATTTCTTGTTCAAGTATAGAAGAAGTTGGTGTTCAAAGTTTTTTTTTAGTCCAGTCTGGCTCTTTTGGGAGAGAGAATCTGTCCAGCTGTACTGAATAGTCTTTCATAATCTTTCAATAAGACCATGGTTGGCGCGTATCTTCTGTCTGACTCTCCGTGGTGGAATCCATTTTGGGTGTGTTAGTGGTGCTGTGGATGTGCCCAGCTCAGTGATGTATATACTTGAATATACATCATTGGCCCAGCTCTTCTTGAAGGTGGGTCTAACGTTACCTGCCCACTTTGCAGGGATTAAATGAACCAACTGCCTTCTCACTATTGGTTACTTTCAAACTAACGAACAAATAAAAAAAAACACAAGAATGTAACTTGTAACGCAACGCATTATAGAAATGTAGTGTAGTAGAAAGTACAGATACTTAATGTAAAATGTAGTGGTGTAAAAGTTGAAAGTACCCACATTTAACTCTACTTAAGTAAAGTACAGATGCATGAAAAATGTACTTTAGTACAGTAATGAAGTACTTGTACTTGGTTACATCCCACCACTGGTGTTATGTATTGTTGTCATTTCCCATACAATGGTGAAATTAGCTCTCTGCTTTTAATCCACCCACCACCAGGTGGAGCAGTGGGCAGCTATGGAAAGCGCCTGGGGAGCAACTGGGGATAGGGTGTCCGGCTCAGGGACATCACGAGATGTGAAATGAACGGGGATCGAGCCCAGGACCTTCAGGTCCTGAGTTGGCTGCCCTGCCCCTACCTACACCATCTCGACCCCCATATTGTCTGTCCTCTAATAAAACACACCACGGGAACTATAAACAAAATAATAAATATATTTATTCGTATTGATTATTGCACATTGCATTGTTATGAACAAATCTGATCAGAAGATCTGCAGTCTTTCTGGCTGCTGCATCTCTTTCAGGATGACTGTAGCCAGAGATATTTGGAAGTTTAGACACACCAAAGATCATTTTACACTTTAGAAAATATATGTAGAAACTCTTCTGAGAAGTGCAAGAAGTTATCATAGAAAATCGTAGGTATGGTACAATTTAGGTTTGCTGTTTTGAAAAGTTAGATGCATGTGACTGATATATACTGAAGCCAGCGTGGGATTAGTTTAGCTTTGCATCAAGGCTTAAATCAGCAGGAAACAGCGAGCTCAGCTCTGTACAAATACAGTGAAAAGGTCTTTCAGGTTTGGGAGCTTAATCCTCAGATTTTTGGTTTTGGATCGTCAGTCGCTTTCGTGGTTGGGGCGTGGTGGAGGGCGTGAGGGAGGAGGCGCTCTACAAGAAGGTGGAGGCGGCAGAGAGTTGGTTGGAGATGGAGGTTCGGAGACTTGGCTCTCGATGGCTGTGGGCAAGGCTCTGTTTGGTGGGGGGGTGTACCAGGGAGAGCTGTTGGAGGATGGTGGAGGAGTGGATGGTAGAGGAGGTAAGGTTGAAGTTGGTGAGGGGGGCAAGAGGTTCTGATCACCATCGGACGGGCGACGCTGATACCTTTGGGGCAAAGTGTAAACGGGTGTGGAGGGATGGTTGTAGATGGGGTAGCGAGGAGGAGGGTGGGAAGGGCTCCGGGTGAAGTTTATGCACCTGCCCTGCAATGGAAGCACAGAAAATATGAGTAATTATGGAACTGAAGATGTAAAGAAAAGCAAAATCCTGACGTCAAGAAACTGGGCACGACTAATTTTCTAAATTTCCTGTGGCTAACGACTGGCAGGTTTGGATGGAAAAAGCAAAATTTTCATTTATTGAATGTCATAAAAGAAAACAGCATTTTTGCCAACTCAGTCATGCAGATGCTGGGAACTGAAAAAGGCAGGCAGCATTTACACCTAATGACTTCTGCAGGCGCATTTCTCCAGATCATACTTTCTCCTTACCTTAGTCTACTTATACTGTTACGCTTTACATTTTCCTTAGTTTTGTTTTAAATCGAAGTCAGGTTTAACTAAAACCCTTTTTCTTATGAGTCATATATCATATCATTATCATATTTCATAGTCATAATTGGTTTCTTTTTATTTATTTAAACTTTATTTTACCAGGCAGGACATTAAGAACGGTTTCTTATTTACAGTATCACCCTGGTTTCCCATTAAAATAACTCCATTATCTCATGATTGTCACCTTGTAGTAATGGTACAATCTCATAAATACCATCTAATATTTATGAATTAGTATCTGATAATTATAAGATACCTTCAAAATTATGAGAAATCTCATAATTATGATTTAGTATTTCATACTCATAACAATAATTCATCATTCTGAGATATCTCAGCATGGTGACAGTATTTATAATCTATTTATTTTAACTTGTAATATCATTAAAATAAAACAAGTCCTAATTTGAAATGTCAAGTCATAAATATGAGATTTTATCTCTTAGTTCTCAGATACTGACTTAGATTTATGAGAATGAGACAATATTAGCAGATGTTACCTCATAAGTATGACACGCTGTCATATTTTGCCATGCTAGATGATATTTATGCCATGCCATGTCCTAACTATATATTGCTAAGTCATAGCGAGACACTAACTTATCTTGATTTGACTTAGAAGCTAAATCATCACATTCTGAGTCATGACCAGAGCAACTATATTTTTTATGTGCCAAATCATAACTGTGTGATATTATTTCATAATAATTAGATAGCTAGATCATAAACAAACAATGGCATCCCATAATTATGGCTTTTAGGTTTTTTTTTTTTTTTTAACATACCGATGGCACAAATGGGCTTCCATACTTATTTAAAATAACCACAATTAATGCTGTAAAATCTTCTAGGTTTCTTTTTTGTAATTTAATCTTTTGCCAACAAGCTTTTTTGTTTACACTTTTTTTTATATATATATATATAGAATCTGAATATATTTACTATTTTCCTGTTCTGCACTTATACTATTTGTTCCAAGTTGTATTACATGTTTTCTTTTTTAATGCAGTGTTGATGAGCCTATTGATGCTCGTCTCACCTTGTCTCCAGGGTAAGGTCGCATCACAGACACTCTGTCGTAGCCTTTTCTCAGGAAAACACACAGAGCGTCCAGCTTTCCCTGCAGAAATACCATCACAAACATGTAAAAAATAACTCCCAGCAGTCACAGTCGTGTCTATCTGCCAGAAATCCTTAAAAAAAATAAGCAAATCTATAGTTGTTAAATGAAAAATGGCTCTTCTGTTTAATTGGTTGCACAAATTTATAGAAAGATTTTATATGAAACTGACACTGATAAAGAATTTTTTTTGTTAAATAAAAACCACTAAACAGATCCTCAACAGATTCATAGAGGTTAGCTCAGTTCATGTCTGGTTCTTGTTACAGCCTATCCAGATCCAGTTGGCTAATATTTAAGGAAGCAGAACTTCAATAACTATTTCCTGATAAGACATCATCATCATTCTTAAAAGGCACTGAAGCAGACACATTTACTCACTACTTATAAAAAGGCACCAAACTTATGTTAAAGCACATAAAACACTGTAGATATAACACATGTACTCTGGGCTTTAGGACACGGTTTTGGCAATGATACCGCCATGACAGCCAAAGAAGTTCATGCTTTGATTAAAAGCTTAAAAATACCAAGCTGTTGACTATAGACCATGTGAGGAACTGAAAATTTGAATAAATTTAACAACTGTACAAAAGAATATAAGATATGTCATTAAGTTCATTTAAAAAACTGAATATCTGGAGCACCTTGATGGGAGAGTACCACTTGTGAGGCCGGATGGTTTTGTGCGTGTGATAGTAAGAAAGAGGTGGAGGTGGATCGTACTCCTGGGCGGGCATCACAACTCGTGCATTTTTGGCCTTTTCCAATTTGGCTCCTTCTTCAGTCGAGCCTTTGTCTCCCCAACGGACCTGGACCCAAACAGACATTTTGAAACAACACAGTTATAACAAAACATCTAGATGAACACTATTCTAATTGGCTATTGTGTTCAAATACACAAGCTTTTTTGGGTTTGGGAACAAAGTATGTTCACTTTTGAACTTTCAGTCTGCAAAATCTTATGATTCAGCATTACCATTAAATAAGCTACTCAATGAAACGTGAATGTTTCACTGCAGGGTCCGTTTTAAACCTCTAAAAATGCTAAAATGTCAGGAGTGAGTCAGAACTCCAGGAGTTAAACCAGCACTGTCGACGCAGCTTTGAAAGTTCATTATTTAAATTCACTCCCTTTCAGCTACTGCACAAAAAGCCTGAAAGGCTTCAACTTGGCAGAAAGAGACGCATAAATGAAGCCGTGCATACCTTCCATTGCAGTGGTTGGAATTATGTGTTTCTGGCAGCTTCAGGACCAGTTCGCAGGCTTCACTACCAGTCTGTAGAACATTTTATTCAGTCGGAATATAATCTGTTTATTTGACAGCTTCATCACACACGGACACATGATCCTTCGTGGTGCAGGATTGTATTTGCATGGTTATCACCCTTAACTATTCTTAAGTTGTACATTAAAACCTACTGAATCCTCCTAAATATACTGTATATATACAGTACTTAGACTGTTGTATCTAAAGTAATGAACTGCTGTGTTACCATTTCAGATAACTCACACAGGCTCCGACCCATAAAACCTTTTGTCTCTGATTCTACCAAGTATTTCTGCAGCGTTTGCAGTCTCCTGTCCAGCTGGCCTCCTCTTAACTCTCTCTGACTCTCAGTTTGTCACAACAATAAAGTGACTCGCTTTCATCCAGCGTCGGCTTGCGTGCTCCACTCTAAGGAATAAATTCCTGCCCCGCTTTGTACTCCTTCTATTTGATCTCGTTCCAAACTTTGATCACTTACTTTCTACTTGCTAAGGGCTGTGTTTAGCCACAGATTTCATCCGTGAACCTGAAACCAGTTAATGGAAAAGCTTTGATTTTAAACTTTTTACCGAGCCTGGAAGTTCTGCTTTAAGCCAGAGTTATTTATAGTTGTTGTGTCTTCACAGTTCAAAAAGATGAATGTCAGATTGGTTGTTCTAAGCCTGTCGTATAGTTGAATAAACTACTAGACTTCAGGCCACAGTCCAGGTGTAGACCATGTGAGAATAAGCTCTTTATTCTGACAATAAATATACTGCAAAGCCAAATGTTCAAAAGAACTAGAAACTGGGAGGATAAAGTCTTAAAATGATAGCTTAGATCTTGGGGTTTAGTGTGAGGGCTATAAACAGTTATTCTTGTACTTGTTGTCATAGATAACTCTTTGACTTCCTATTGGAGCAAAATAGAGCTTGTCTGCCTGAGACAAAGATCAATGTGAAGCACTCCATGTCTAATGTCAAAATTTTCACATTACTAAATGTATTTTAAATAAATATCTATATATATATAATTATATTATAATAATATTATAATTATATAAAAATATAATTGTATTTAACACCACTTCAGAAATCACAGTATTCCTACAGGAAGTGCCACATGCTGCATCAGAGCTGCTACAGATAGCTGTAATAGAGCTGCGATTTTTGGCCTGAGCCCCAAGCCCGACCTGAAATTTTGGCCCGGTCAGGCCAAAATTATGTACTTGATGGGCGGGCTGGGGCGGTCTCAGGCTTTTGATGCGGTTTTACGAATCATACAGCACAAAGAAAGCTAAATAAGAATGCACCATATAAAATTGTGTTAATCTGCTTGTGAAACCTGCTGACGTGTGTCAGGTCAGGTGCACGCTCAGGTCTGATCGACCCGTTGAAAGAGGTAAAAAAAAAGTCCAGTTAAGCTTCAGATGGACAACAGGCTCATCAGCCTCATGTCAAACTGATTTGCTTACAAAAGCAGTAAAAGCTTAATTTTTATTTATTTATTTATTTGCCAGGTTCGGGCCTATAATTACAATTAATAAGTCGGGTCAAGTCAAACTCTGAAAAAATGCATACGGGCTAGGGCCGGACCGGGTTGGATTTTTAGGCCCGAATGCAACTCTGAGCTGTACTAATGTGAAACTGAGCGTCATATGAAAGTTGATTAAATGGTGTTCACGTGAACCACTATGAAACTTTTGGAATTGAAGTTGTTTTAGGATGGCAGCAATGTACTTTAGTCTTAACCGCACTCAAACTAGCCTTTAGCTCATCAATCCAGGTTAGAGTTGCACTCAGGTTCAAAAAATCCAACCCAGCCCCAGCCCGCAGCCATCAGCTCTGAACTCCACCCGATCTGACGAATTGACAGTAATTACAGGTCTGACTCTGGGAAAAAAAACCCGACATTTTTAATAAAGCTTTGACTGCTTTTACAACCGACTATTATTAACGGTTGGCGGACGCACACGGCTGAGTAAAGGGGGCAGAAGATCGGAGCTGAGGAGTCGTCAAAGCGCATTAAATGCTTCCCCTGCTTCCGCCTGCACTGAACCCTGCTCTGGCATGTCGGATATTTTGTGATCTCACCTGTTTGGGTCATCGGTCGTGCACGCCCACTGAGTGCCGCAGCTGAATGAACATCCATTTGGGTGATGGATCGCTGGCAGTAGTCCATCTGAAGCTTAACTGAACTTTTTACCTCTTTCACCTGGCCCGTCAGCGCGCGGTCAAATGGCCGCATGCTAGGTGATAATACGGCAAGCCATGTTGGCATATAATTGGATCATCAGCCACATGCGTCCTTGACACAATAAAAAAAACAAACACCGACCTGGCCCGCACATTACGGACATTATTATTGCCCGGTCCAAATCCATAGCGGGCAGGGCCGGGCTCCAGGTTCGGGTTAGAAATGACAGCTTTAATCCAGGCGGAATTAAACACCATTTCTCTCACTATAGTCAAATTTAGAACAGGTAAGATAATAACTGTTAACAATATCTCCACTTAATCCCATTTCAGAACATACTAAGTACCACAAAGAAGCGCACAACTGAAACAAAGACCACAATCAGACCTAAGCTATGGCACTACGTGACACAGACACTGACGGCAAATGAAATGAAGGTGTGCTGATTAGAAACAGAAACGTTGTGTGACAGAGACCGGAAGTAAATTAACTAAAAGTGCAAGAAGTAAAATCAAGGAGAAAAAAAAGTTTAACAAAGATAATATATATATTTAAATAATTAAAGTTTAACATAACCAAAATCTGATTTGATCCAGGTTTATTAGTTTGGAATGAGTTTAGACCAAAGCAAAAATATGTATAAAATAATTCCTGTTTCCACATTGCTTCTATTTCTTCCCCTCTGGAAGCTCATCTAATAACACATTTAAAATCATATATCTTCCTCCACTTTGTGCTTGTTATTTTGGAAGATTTGTGGTATGATGTCAGTCGTTAACTTCCTGGCTGGATGATTTGGCTCAACAGGTTCGTTGAGTTTAGTCTTTTTGTTCTCAAAGATTCATTTACATTATTAGACTTTAATGTTTTACAATTTGTGCAAATGTGACCGTTTTCAGAAAGCAATGCAACCACATGATGACCCACTTTTAAAGAAACCACACTTAAATAGTAACGTCTTTTCCATAAAACCACACTTCTGTTTGTGTCTGGTTGTAATGCTGTGCGGTAGAATCATATTTTTGTCCGCCCTTGAATGATATTTATTATAAATTAATTCTCTTGCTCTCTGAGTTACCTCCATTCTCTTGATGCCCCCGACTCCACGGCCTCCGTAGTATGATGCATCTACAGTGGGCCACCTTTTCTTAGGAAAACCATCCTCGTCATCCTAAAGATAAGAACCATGTGTTTATTTGTGGTGAACTCAATAGGATAAACTTATTTACAGAAAGCAAACTGATCAGTGTATGTAACTAAAACAGAAAAGAGAAACCTACAGAGATATCCTCTATAACTGGAGGAGGTGGCTCATGAATAACCTGCAAAGCAATTAAAAAAATATATATTTTAATCATTGTCTTATTGTGCGTTTGTTTTTTTAATTCAAGTGCAAAACCATCATTCATGTAGGAGGCATTGCTCTTTTAGATGATTAATGCAGTGTCGTACCACAGTGCAGCATAGAGGCCAGAACCACCAGAGCAGAGCCATGGTGAGCAGGAGCAGCAGGACGAGCAGCGCGATTCCCACTAAGGTCCCATCAGACTGCAACAGAAACATGAAAACACTGGTTGAAGCTGACAAACTGATTTTTCTGTGCAAAAGACAAGGAACAAAAGAAAAAAATCTCTCAGCTGTAACTCATCTTACAAAGTCAGTAATACTCATAATATTGCCTTGATTTTTGTTTTTGTCCATCACATGATAAGCTTTTGTCTCCTTTATACTCACACAAGTAACAGCAGTAATAGTGACAGAGCTTGAAATGAAGCTGAGGCCATTATTCAAGCTGACGTAAAGCGTGGCTGACCTGCAGAGATGATAAGACGATTAAAACAGTCAAATAATGCGTCTCCAATCACAAATGGTCAGTGGTGGATGGCCAATAGGGGGCGCTAGGGCCCACCACTCACCACATTACCTTGAATAAGACATAAAAAAAAAAAAAATTAAAAAAAAATTTATTTTTTTGTTGTGTAAGATAAATATTTTATAATTAATGATGAGTAAAGTTGATTCGTTCGTCAACGTTGTCTGATTGTTGATGTATTTCCACCCTGGGGGCGCGTCTTTGCCCATAGACTCTCGTTAAAAGTTGTACATGCACAGTTAGCTCCTCTTCATTACAAAAGATAGGACTATTCTGGGCTCACCTCTCCTGCACCCAATGCAAGGATGCATTCAGCTCTGGGTGCAAAGATGCAAAGATCGTGCTTCCGGAGCAGATCGTTCAGTGACACAACCAGGCTATAGCTGCTGCAGGTAGACTTTAAGCCATTGGAAGCCCGTTATCTAATGTTATATGTTGCCATTTCTGACTGATATGCCTCTCAACTTTTAAATGTCTCTATTTGTGAAAAAAAACTTCAGCTGACTGTGTATTATAAAAGTGGAAACTGGTGAGTTTGTTTGTTTCTGGAGCTATGCTATCGCTATAGCCTCCAGGTTATTGTATTGGGCTCTGTGATAAAGCAATGCTATTGCTACAACATTTATTTGAATGTGCTTATAAAAAAAATCTAACATTAATACTTTTCTATACTAAATGTCACTGATTATATTTTACTATTTCTGAGCACTTGCATTTGCATTGATCTGGATAATGAAAATAAGCCTCTTGCAATAACTAGCTCCTACTGTTAACACTGAAGCATTTAAATGGAAGGTACATTGAAATGGTGAAATGCTGTTGCTATTTTGTGTGCTGAGGACCGGTGCAATATTAGGACCTTTAATATTAAGAATATTTACGAGTACTCAAATAATGAGCTTGATTCTATTTAGGTACCACATCCCTCCAGCAGTCAAACCAAGATCTTATTATAAACCATCTTATATAAATATTATTTATGGCACATATATATGTATATATATGCATATGTCTATTTTGGAGTTATAGCCCCCATGGAGAAAACTCCACCAGCTGCCACTGCAAATGGTTTATGCAAGAATTGCCTATCACTTTTCAAAGTCACAACCAGGATAAACTGTGGCCTTTTTTGTATCTTACAGTGGCTGTTTTGCATCAATATTTGATTCTTTTGTTCCTGATATGGGTTATTTCACAACTTTCTGAGAGCTAAGGCTCAGTTTCCTCTAAATGTTTCTGGCTCTGAAGAGAACACTCATAACATAAGAGTGGGTATGCAAATATAATCAGGTTTGAACAGAAATTACTTACGTTGCAAATTTTTCCAGAATAGGAGCTGGACACAGAAGGTAAGTATCCCTCACCACCAAAGGCCTCTTCACTGTGGAAAACAGAAGTTGAGCATATATTTAGAGAAATAAATCACATGATAAGTCTGTGAGGCAGTGGATGTTTTTTTTTTCCTCTCTCTTTCAGTTTTAAAACTTCAGAAGTTTCCATCCTGAAAATAGTGGTTTGCTATTAAATTCCTGGACTTCCTCTTTTAGTGGAAAGTGAAGAAAATAAGTGAGAGTTTGTGGTTTATTTGTCTCGGCTGAGGGAGGCTTTAACATGTGCTGAAGACAGCAGCTCATCCCTGATGAGATCCACATTCATCTTCAAACACTCCTCTTCTGAGAAACGATGAGCATTTTTGCAGCTGATGTCAAGCATAGGTAGATGGAAGGTTTGGAAAGCAAAGTGGTGTATAAAATTCTACCTGGCAACCATCCTCACAGGCAACATGGTGTCTTAGTCTTCATATGTTAAATGAGGACAGATTTGGCTCATTGTGTGTTATTATGAATGAATATTCTTACTGGACAAATAGTTCATTTACTGTCTACAGTTAACTGAAATTTACACCTCAGGAGTGACAATGTACATAAAATGTGTTTTTTATGTTTCTCACCCATTGGATTAAAATTTTAATTGCTGTTGCTTACCACCATAACAGACATAAAATTAAAACTAATTTAGCAGCTGAACAATTTGGTTTGGCAAATTAAAAAAATATATAATAAAAAACCTAGTTGAGTTATGACTGTCCTTGTGCATTTTTTTTCCCCCTTACCTTGTGATAACCACACCTGCACTCACTCAGTAATCACCTATTCTTGCATCACCCTCAGTTATTCCCTCACTGTTTTTCACTTCTGTGCTTTTCTATGTTCCATTCAAACTCCCTTAGTTTTCCTTTTGTGTTTGTTGCCTCATCAGCCTTTAGTTGTATCTGTTATTAAAAGTCTTGATTTCATTCATCAAAGTTCATGCTCAATAATCCATGTAAAAAAAAAAAATCCAGAAAAATAACATCTGGTCCTCTGGGCGGTTTCCTTTTGTTGAAACATTTCATCTTTCATCCAAAGGACTTCTTCACTCCGAGGAGCTACAACAAACGTAATCTTAAAAGCACCTTCACATAATTCAACAAACAGAAACTGTCCAGATGACCTGATTTAGTTTTGTTGGAATTTTTTACCTGGATTATTGAACATAAGCTTTGATGTTTTGAACCACTTTGGTCATGATTGCCTCAGAGGAGTTGACAGGGGAGAGGGTGGACTCCAGAAACCATCTTGGCACCATCAAACTGGTTGGTTCATTATATTAGGGTGCTACTTGTGGGACTGAGTTTGTTGTGGCTCCTCGGACTGATGAAGTCCTTTGGATGAAAGGTGAAATGTTTCAACACAAATAAGCCATCCAGAGGACCTGACTTATGTTAACTTAACAGTTTGAGCTATTTAATCGACTTGTAAAATAACATTATTCATCAATTAGGTCTCAACTTTTTCATTTGGCAGTAGACCGATATTGTTTTCAGGATGATGACAATTCTTGATTTATTTGTTTATTTTCAACATGGCCATAAATTTAAATATCGACTGTCCGTTTGCCACGTTGAGGTTGTTGATCCTGAAGACATATTTTTCCTCTCTGTGCTGGTAAGTTGTACCACAATCTGCTCTCAGCTTTAATGAAGAATAGTTATTTGTTGTCCAATACAATATTTTACTAACATCTGTCATACATGGTTCTGTTCTGGGTCACGTGCAGCTGATGACTGTCTCCAGTGGTCGTTTTGTGAGACACAGGGTACATTGCAAGTTCACCACAGGGACACAGAGACAAATGAGATCATCACACGTCACCCACACCTAGATACAATTTAGAATCATCAATTAACCATGCATGAAAATGTTTTGTTCTGAAAATGAGTACAAATATGCCTGCATGAGGTGAATATGCAACAAGGTTGCAGCAGAGCTTCAAGCCGTGGACCTTCTCGTTGTAGCAACAATCAACATCCAGCTTTTATCCTATTATAAATATTACACATATAAAGTGGAATACCGCATTTCACCTTCTTTAGTTTAATTCTGTTTTAAACTAGTTCTGTAAAATGTTTTTGCAGATAAAAAAATTGTTACATTTTTATTATTTTCTGCTGTTTGATTGATTCCAACCCCTGTTTTCATGCAGATTATGTATCTTTGTATTATTAGAGGTCTATTCCTAAGAAAGTTCTGATTTAAAATAATTTTTAAAAAAATTGTTCAACCCTTGTTTTGGTAGACCACTGAGCTGAAGAACAATAAGAAGTTGTGTTTTTTCATATAAAGTTCTACAAAAGGAATCTTAAAATTGTTTTATTGTTGTTTTACAGTTAATGTATCTATTATCTTAACAAGCCAGCAATAAAACTACAAAAAACTTACTCAAAGTACTTGTATCATTGATACGGAAGCTGCAGAGGACTTTCTCCACATCTCTGGAGTGAAGGAAACCATTTCCTCTCACGACCACCTGGAAGGTTTCTAAAAAAAGAAATAAAAGTGTTGCCCCTTATTACGTATTTGTGTGCATTATATTAAAAGAAAAAGACTGAATCAGCATAATATAATATAATATAACATGTGCAACTTTTGGCAGTTATGCTCATGGTTTTTTTTGTTACCTCCTTCACAAATGCTGGAGGGTTCCACAGCCAGGATCTCAATGCACGATCTCTTCAGGATCTGACACAAAAACATTAAATCATGTCAAGAAGTTACAGTTTGTTAGTCATGATTTGGTTATCTTTTTGAAAACATTCTGATTACCGAGTCGATGACCCCTTGCAACGCTTGAAATCCATCATCTACAGGAAAAACGTGGTCCTTACTGTCAGCTATAGTGGATAGCTGAAAGAGTCAAAAGTTTTAATATATGTTTAAATTATTATTTATCTTAACTTCTTGACTTGGCTGGTTCTCAAACTATCTATCAGGTCAGAGGCAATGTGTTTGACATAACAGTACTTCATCTAACTACCTAACGGTCACCAATGGTGTGCCACAAGGCTCAGATTTAGGTCCCACTCTTTTTACAAATTACATAAATAATGTAGGTCTAAACATTCCTGACGCGTCTTTGCATCTCTATGCCAATGACACTGTTGTTTATTTCCGAGCTAACACAGTTGCCAAGGTTTTCCAGCTTCTACGGTCTGCATTTGACATGATTCAGTCAGACTTATTCCATCCAAAGCTGGTGCTAAATGCTGACAAACCCAAAGGGATGTTGTTTCCCAACAGAAAGTTGGTGCCAGCAACTCTTCCTCCTATCTCATCCATGCATGGTGTTCCTATTGAGTTTGTAGATTCTTACAAATACTTGGGAATTTTGGTCGATGCACATCTCTCTTTTAAACCACATATTGAAAACTTGATGAAGGAACTGGAATTAAAACTGGGTTTATATTTCAGAAATAGATCTTGCTTAACTCTGAATGCCAGAAAACACCTTGTAACCGTTACCTTCCTACCGGCCATTCACTATAGTAACATTATTTACATGAATGCCATGCCAGCTCCTTACAAATGTTTGATGCTGTCTACCATGGCACACTAAGATTCATAATTGTCTGTAACTACCATATCATCACTTCACCCTGTACTCCTTGGTCAGCTGGTCATCACTGTCTACACATAGGCTCTCACACTGGTTCATTTCCATCTATAAATCCCTCCTTGGTCTGCTTCCTTCTTATATCTCCTCCCACATGTCACACCGTCAGTGCAGTTACAACGTGCGCTCTCAGGCCATCATTACCTGCAGCCTTCCCTCAGTACAGACTGAACTTGGCAAATAAACCTTATACTCAGCTCTTGTAACCTGGAACACCTTGCAACAGGAACTGAAGCTGTCCACCTTAATTTCTTTAAGGGGTTTCAAACATTTGATAAGGTCAATAGAACAATCAAAGCACATATGTTCTTGTTTTTAGTATTTCACCCTGTTTTATGGCACCCTGATTTATTGTTTTATACACTACTCTTAATTTAACTGCATATTTTTTACTATAGTTTATTGTTGTCATTGTCTACTGTTTTGTTGTCTGTACTTTATATGTTCTGTCTGGAACATGTCCCTCTTGTAAATGAGTCCCCGTGGCTCAATGAGGCTAGCCTGTATAAATAAAGATTGAATGAAAAAGCAGAGTGCTTACTTGTGTTTCGTTGAAGTCTTTCACCCCCACACAGTACACTGTGGCTCCTAACTGACGTGCTCTGCTGGCCTGATTCAAAACAACATTAAATTTAATAAAACGGTAATAAAAGATGTTAAATGACTTGATGAGATCATCAAGGAATCGTGGCAGAATGAGAAAAGAAAAGCTCCCTATTGTCTCATCTTTCACCTCCAGCTGTGCCTGATCGAACTGATTCTTCCTCAGTTCTCCGTCTGTCAGGGCGATAATGACGCTGGCTGTCCGGTAACCTGAAAAACAAAACTGCTGGTTCAAATGTGCAATAACGTCTCAACTTATCCAATAAAATCCAACATAAAGTCTAGTTTTCAATTCAAGCAACAACAAAAAAGTAAAAGCACTGGATTCTGACATTTTGAGTTGATTCTAAAAAGTTTTGCTCACCATGTCCAGCCCCGTAGTAAATTTGCTGGCTAGCCTGGGGGGAAAAGTTTGAGAGGTTAAAAGCTATAAATTTAAATTGGCCTTGTTTATATAGTTTAATCCAAACCATTAGTTTATTGAATTACTTTATGAAGTCCTTTGTCCATGAAGGTGTCTCCGCCTGGCTCCACCATCTGCAGCTCCTCCAGTCCGGCACGGATCTTATCTCTGATTAATAAACAAACAAAACAACACTGATCACAACAAATTATAACTCTTAGAATATTTATTTTTTCAAAGTTAGCGTAGTCTGTGTTTAAACACCTGTCTTCTGTTAGAGCCATGAGTATCCGTCCTTCCGTTGAAAACACAATAAAAGACATCCGCAGCTGAGGACTAGACAGACAAAATAAACTTTATTTACTATGATTTTAAATAGTCTTATTGTTTGTGTGTGTGTGTGTGAACACACCTGATGAACTTTTGAGCAAGATGATCCACAAAGTAATATATCTCATTCCAATAATCTTGCACACTGCCAGACCTAAAACATAAAAACAGTTCAGTGCAGTGACGCATACTTTATCTGATACTAATCTGAGTGTGTCGTGCAAAAAAGTAGCAATAACTAACATTGAAATGTGCTAACGATTTGGGTGATACGGATCTTAAAAGGTGTCTTAATAAAGTTTAGCTCAGCTGTTGAAGCTGTACTGTCAAGAACAAACTGAGAGTTTGATTATAAGCACTTTATTTAATTCTTTGACCAACAGTTTGCTCAAAGTTACATTCCAGATGAAGCTGATGCTGAACAGCTGACACTGGAGAAAGTTAAGGAGAATGCTGAAAACATTATGTTTCAGGCTAGACGAACCAGTTCTTACTGAATATCTAATAGGGTTTAATTATTTGATAACAGTATTTTTCTGCCTATAAGTCGCAGTATTTTTGCATAATTAGCATGCCCTGCGACTTATACACCGAATCGACTTATTTATGTTTTTTCCCCATATTTATTGTATAAAACAATTTTTGGCTGAGATATGACCGTTTTCATTCATTCTGACACTGAAAATATTAAACACTAACATTTTCAGACGCTAGATGGCACTCAATTAGTATGACATGCCGTTGTGTCATGTAATAGATATAAGTGGCTATTGATGACACAATCTGCTTGCCATAGACGCAACCTTCGTCCAGCTCCGGGATGGAGCGACCGTCAAATCAGATTCATTTTGCTGCGCTGCCCCAGCAAAATAAAGCTGATTTGACCTCTGAAGTGCATTTATTAAGTAAATGTTCAACTGTGACACACGTTTACTATAATGTCAAGCAAACAAATAACTGTTTTTAGGTCGCTATCTTGTTAAATTTTGAAGAAATGCACGTTCCTCCTTCCTGACTTCCTCCCTCAGAGTGCGCTCCCGGAGCACCGAGGCAGCGTGTACTTTTGAAATGCATCTGATGAAACTGTCAAAGTGCATTTATTAAGGAAAAGTTAAACTGAGACCCACCTTTTCCGGCCCATATTTCCAGGTTTGGCCCGTATTTCCATGTTGTCAGTGATGACGTGTAACAAATGCAACGCGTAACAAATGTGACACGTTAGCAGTGACGCATAATAAATGCGACTTACATGGCAAAGCGACATATTTATGTTTTTTTTCCATTCTATTAGACGTATTTGGCCTGATGCAACTTATTTGGTGGTGCAACGTGTACGGCGGAAAATACGGTATATCTATCCATCAATTTTCTGCGACTTATCTGTGGTCAGGTCACAGAGACAACAGATTCAGGAGAGCAACCCAGATATCCCTCTCCTTACTGAGACTTTCCAGCTCCTTTTGGGAGATCCCAAGCTGTTCCCAGGTCAGAGGGGAAACATAAATCCTCTGGGTCAGCCCTTGGGCCTCCTTCACGTAGGATGTGCTCAGAAAGCCTCCAAAAGGAGGTTCAGGAGCTTTCCACAATCAGATGCTCAAACCACATCAACCGACTCATTTCGGTGCAGAAAAGCTGCAATTCAATGTGCACTTCCTGAAAGTTTCATTTCATTTCATCCAGTGGTTCATAACACTTCAAAAGCCCACAAGCACACACACCGATGCAATCAAAAACCTTTTGGTGGCAGGCAATTAAAAAAATAGTTTCCAGGAAAAATTATATTTGACTATTAGAATGAATCAGACTGAGCTCAAGTCAAAACCTTGAAACTGTGCTAAAATATTATGTTGATCCTCAGTATATTGTTTCTGTGACAAAATGTCATGACATGAAAGACAAAACTTTGTGGACAGAAAAGCAAAGTAAGAAATAATTATTGCCTTGTATGATGCACAAAAATTATTATTTTTTTATTTATTTTGCACTAAGTGATAGATCATTTCCATTTAGAGGCTTAAAAATAGCCCATGCGTAGTTTGGACCATGGTTCTGTTTTGGCTTTCTTCAGGTCCAGATGTTAGAGTTTGCAGCTTTGACAAACAAATCAGCAGAAGAACACAAACATTTCAAGTGCACGTCAGTAATTAAGTGGAAATTTGGGGTTAAAACAGCCTCCACCTCCTCCCACTCTGGACTTGTCCTCCTGTTTTCATTTATCCAGCAATGTGAGTCCAAGAGGCGAGATGAGCCAAAAAGCCAGGATCTTTGGAACATCTGGCTCTCATGGAGAAAGGGTTCTGCTGTCTAAAGAGCAGATTTGAGGCTGCTCCTGTCAAAGAATTACGACCGCAGTTTGACAGCAGATGTCCCTGCAGAGCGTTTTATCATTTCAGATCATGTATAAACACATTACAGATGAAGAAGTGAGGGCAGAAACATGCTTGAAACCAGCATCTGAACATGTGACACATAACTGAGCTTCATGTTAACGTCATGAATGGTGTAATTTAAAACTTACTGCTGCATTTTCAAAGGATTTAGAAAACAATTTGGTGTTTGATGAGGAAAATTGCACAACGCTGCTTTCATGGCTTAGATTACACTAACATGCATTAGCAAATTTAACAATTAGAAGTAATTCTCGCCTTCCACTGAATGTGACAAAATAGTGTTTTTGATTGTGTGTTTGTGTGTAGGTGCATTAATCAGCGCTGCTAATAAAATACCTAACAAATCAATGAACTGACTTTAATGGAAAGTAATCATTAAGGCACATCTACAACTGATTAACTCTGGCGTCAAACCAATTTAAATTGCCACCACTGCTAACACAGAAATGACTAAATCTCAGTGAATGTTACTGATATAGGGCCTAAATTTGGAGTGGTAGTAGCTGAGAGTCATTTGCAACACAACCCAAGCCGTAACAGATCAGGCAAGGTATTGATAAAATTGAAACAAAATCATTTAAAAGGTAAATAAAATAGGTATAAAGCTCATTTGCCAAAAAAAAAAAAAAAAAAAAAGTGGTGGGCAATATGCTAGCCCATTAATTTATAAAGCATTGATGTGAACTTTATTTTAATTAGGTTGGAAATTTGACATTTAAATAAAAACATAATTAAAGACCTCTTTTAGATTTCTGCAAACATTGGACACTTTTCACAACTTGTTGGATTATTCTGCAGCTCAAATTAATAAACTGATTGCGAACATAGAAGAGTTAAATAACTGTAAGCTGTTGTCATGGATTTATTTAATTATTTATTTTTGCATATCACCATCATTACAGTAAACTGCTCCAGACAAATGCAACATGTTCCTTTGGCATAGCTCTGTTTCTCGTCTCATTTAAAAAGTTTAGAATTATAATTGGCCAGTTTTAGCCTAATAGAGTCTTTGGAGGACAACGTGTCAAGGTATATCGAACCACACTCAGATAAATTATGCAACAAAGTCTAAACGTCCCTCCTGAGATAAAATAAAAGAGCAGCACTCACTTGTCCAGAACAAAGAAGAGGTCAAATCCTCCATAGCAGGACGACCCTGGTTCCTTCATTTCATAAATCTGTGCACCAACCACAAGGATCCCCACCATTATGCCCAGTTCCACGCAGAGCTGGGTCTGTCTGCACCAGAACTGGACCATCTCCCTGAGTTTAGGACAGTCAAAGTGAGAGTGAATATAAATCTTGTCCAAATTGAGTTGTCCTCTTGACCTCTCTTTCAAAGGGCTCTGATGTGGAAGACCATCTGGTGAAGAGGGATCTCCATGGCATCAAGTGCTCTTCTCTGGATTAAAGTCCCATCTGAGCTGCAGCAGACCCACATCAGCAGAGGAGGAGGGAGTCTCAGGATCTTCTTTCACACTCAGTCAAACAGCACGAGTTGTGCACAATAATAAAAAACACACGTGATTTCCTGCTTTCGTCATCTGACAGTGAGAATTAATTGTGTTTTTTTTAGAAAGCCTTTATTCTTGGACACGCTTTTCTTTGTTTTCTTCAGTTCTGTAGGATTTTGTGTTTTATCCATCAGTGCCACACTGTGGTCAAAACACAAACCGTGCAAATCATTCAACAAAATGAGAACAATGAATGTGTGCAGACATGACGACTTGTTTCATTGTTTATAACGGCATTTTGATCTGTGGACTAACTTTGAACATCCAACACTAAAAACTCTCACAGCTGTCAAATAAAACCTTCAAATGAGCAGTAAAAGTTTTAAGTTTAGGAATAGGAAACAAATCAAGCAAAGATCTGATGGACAGCATGCCCTTCCTGACACAACCTGGGCTCAAACCCGCAACCTCAGGATTACAAGACCACGGCACTGACCACCAAAACTATAGCCCCAACAAGTTTTCAGCTAATAGCTCTTTGAAATCATTCGGTTGGTGATGAAATGCTATTTTGTGTGTTTAGCTGTGGTATATTTACTTTGTAAGTTGTTTTTATAGATACAAAAAAAAATGAACCTATGTGTCTAATGGAAGGCTGCTTCATGTAACAAAATTAAAACCAGTTAAAAACTCATTCGTTAAATTGATTGTTCAAGTTCTAGTTGTTTATTTGTCATATGCAAGGTCAACACAAGGTTAACAGTACAATGAAGTGCTTAAGATGAGAAGAACATGATTGATTCGCTAAAAGATCAAAGAGCAAACAAACAAGAAAATATTAAAATCATGCAATTAGGGTACATAAATAATGTACCAAAAGGTGAAAAAGTTATTATAATATTGACAAGGTCCTAAAGAGAGATAGTAAACAACAACATGGTAGAATATAACAGTACAACAGGATGAATTTGAATGAATAAGTATTTCAAGGTAGTAAAATAAGCTAAAATGCACATGACATACATACATACATATATTTTTATATATGTGTATGTATGTATGTATATGTGTGTATATATATGTGTGTATGTATATTGCACATAATTAACATATACAGGTTGTGTGACTGGTTATTGTACAGGTAGTGACACTGAGATTGAATTATGATGGTAAGGTAGATACATAGATACTGTATCATACATGATACAGCCGCACAGTGCAGCAGCAATAAATACTAAACATACTGGCTGTCACAAGCTAATATTAGTCATATTAGTTGTCACAGATGTGGCTTGGTGCAGTGTTATTGCCAGTTGTTCAGTGTTATTTATTGAGAGACAGCTTGTGGGTAATAGCTGTCCTTTAGACTTTTCGTACATGATCAAAGACTCCTGTATCGTCTGCCTGAGGGTAGCAGATGGAAGAGTCCTTGTGCTGGGTGGGTGTGGTCCTTAATGATGCTGCGTGCTTTACACAGACATTGGCTGTGGTAGATGTCCTGGATGGTGTGGACACTGGTACCAGTGATGTCCTCTGCCGTTTGCATCACCCTCTGTTGTGTTTCCTGGCTCTGACTGGTGCAGTTCCCGTCTGGTTGTAACTTGTCTGCTTTGTGATGACATAACCCTTCAGGAGACTTTTATACTTGAAGGATGTACAGATCAGAATTATGTGGTTTAGCATATAAACAAAAATCTGAAAATGGTATGCTATGCTGGCAAATATGATTGAGATAATTTGTTTCCACATCTTCACTTCATGAGTTAGTTTAGTTAGAACCCATGGGCACTGCAAAACTTAATAGATGATTTAAAGACCGCAACAAATCACCCTAGTCATTATGGAGGGGGTCTAATTACATAAGTGAGAAACAAAATCAATTCACGCACACCTCTTTGGCTTATTAATATTACACTATTGTTTTGAATGAATTAATATTTCCCAAACACTTTTATTTGTAACTTAATTTTCAATCAGGTAATAATCACTGTAAAACAAAGTTTTAATTTATCATTTATTTATTAGCCTACATCAATTCACCATTGCTTGACAGTTTTTGCTGGTTTCTGTTTAATTTGAGTCAAATGTTTTGCAGTTTTAAAGGTAATATATTAATACTAAATGTCTGTGTAAATCTGACCTGTAATGGCTTGAAATAATTCAATTTAGCTGATTAATGATTAAGCTGTGGCAGATTAGACTGCTGCATAAATTCACTGTTCCTGTGTTTTAATTTAAAATATAACATTAAAGCTAAAATTAAAACTTGACATTAATGTGCACATACATAATAAAATACTGTAATTGTATGCATTATAAAATAAGCTTGACTGGCTTCATAAAACCTCCAGCTGAGGGACCCTGTGCTGCAGAACTTCCTAAATCCCATGTTCCTCGGACCTTCAAGGTTCAGCTGCAGATGTTCTGATACCAGAAACTGGATGATTGAGACTAATTAATTGGTGACTTACCAATATGTGAACAGCTTCAACAATAAATAATAAACTGAAACTTTAAAGCACTGTAAAACTAATTTGATAGTTTTATTTCACTTTTGTAGCCTTTTTAACAGAGTCCATCAAACAGATGTGCCAGTTGTTGGCTTGTCTCTACTGAAAACCCACCAGCTGTCCTCCCTGTTTGGACCAGCATAAAAAGCTGCTCATGGAGAGGAGTTAACCCTGAGACAACAGCTAAAATCTGTATAATATTCATCCGAAAGGTTAATGATTGAACGAATGGCAGCAGTTAAGTTTTTCCTGTCGTACAGTGAGGTCATCTCAGGATGTTTTTCTACTCACCAAGTCGTCACTTTTCACCTTTTCATGTATTTTTAAAGGAAGTCTCCGTTTTTAATAACATCTCCAAATATGAATGAGTCAGTGTTTCCACCTTCCATGTTGGAATGGATGTGGTCGGAAACCTGCAAGTGATGTAATTTTATTTAAAAAATTTTAAAAAAAGCACTTCTAAAGGTTTGAAGCAGATTTGACTATTTTGAAACTGATTTATTTTTTAAACCTGCAGAAATTATCCCACTAAAACTTTATTTATAAGCTTCTCTGCACATGGATAAGGGAGCCACATTGATTATCAATTCTTATATAGGCATATATATAATGTCAGCAGGTGCAGGCTGCACGCGCCTGTCTGTATGTATGCGCTCAGTTGGGTTCTGGTCAGTGAATCAGCTGCATGGAGACGTGGTCTTTCTAAGAAAAAAAAATCTCGCCGCTGTCGAGGAACTTTTTTTTTTTTTTTTAATGGAGCCCTTGACTCCTCTACTCCTCATGTCTCAGCAGCTTCCTCCTCTGGTTATTTGATGGTTGGAAATGGACGTGGCTCGGGTGGTTCTGCTCCTGCTGTGCGCTCTGGGCGGTTCTCCTGCTGCTGATGGAGAACCAGCTGAGGGCACGAGGTTTTCTCAGGATGCGATCGATTACAAGGACCCCTGCAAAGCGGGTAAGGGATTAGTTACTCGATCACAAATGATCGATTCGGTTCGGACAATTGATCCATCCATCCATTATCATAAAATAAATAAATAAAAACAGGAAATGAAAAGAGCGCAACTCTGCGGGTGGTGTCAGGAAACCCTGTTGTTGTTGTTGCTTCATTAAAACTCATTAGAAATAGTCTAAAAGTCACGTGGCGCTTTTATTTTTTTTATGTAAAACCTGCATTTTTGAAGTATATGTTAAGGAGATGAGTTTAGTAAAAATAAAAAAATCTTACTAAATAAATATAACAGTTAAAATAAGATATTTTATGAAACAGTGGGAAAAAAATCAAATCAACCTTAATTTTTATAATTGCTGCTCATTTAAATGGAGCATATAT